CATATTGTGGATAGCTAAGCAAAAAAGAATAGTGCCAAGGGGGTCGCCCTGTTGTACTCCCTCTTCGGAATAGATAACGTTGAATTACTAGATGAAATTGGGGCGTTATCTTTAATTGTAGCAATTAGATTATCTGAAATACCGAACTTTATATGCTTCTTTCAATATCTGCTATTTTATCATAAGAATCTGTTCCAGGAATTCTCCAACATGCTAAGGCTTTTGATTGTCTTTCAAGTATTTCTTTTGTATTCTTTAAAAATATAGTAGAAATAGAGATAATTCTTTCTAATAATATTTGATCCAAACATAATTCCTATTAGATTTATTTCAGGTAAACTTATTTTTATAATTTAACTATCTTCTTCTTCACTACCATGAGTGTAAACCATCCTAAATATTAAATAACGGTACTATTCTATTCAGTAACATTAATATATAAAATATATGCTTTATTCATTTTGTTTTGTTGTTATTTATCTATCCTGATATTGGAGATTTTCAAGTTGACTATTGTCCTGTAAATTTTATCGATACTTTTAAAAAATGATGACAGGAAAATTCAAAAAATATGGTTATGTTTGATTATTAAATTTTTTTAACAAATATATAAAAAAAATAGCTGTATCTTTGCCAAGAAAATGAAAAAGATTCAATATTCTTTTGAAAATAAAGATCTGATCTTGTATAACAAGTATCTTATTACTAATACGAAAAAGATGCCGAGTATGGTATTATAAATAATAGTTCTAAAATTTTTATAGGTATATTAAATATTTATATTTAAAATATATTTTTTTGAAAATGTATTTATATTTAAAATATATTTTTTTGAAAATGTATTTATATTATATTCAAATGCAGTTTTTTTGAAAATTGACTCAACCCTCTAGAGGAGCCATTGCCATAGATAAATTAACGGAAAATATTTTCCACGGTGGTAAAGATAGAATAGATTCCCATAAACAGGTAAGTTGCCTATATAAAAGAAGGAATGGACATATTATTTTTTTTCGACATTATAATAACAAATTATGACATAAAGCAAATTTTTTTTTAAATAGATAATACCAAAGTCACAATAAATAAAATAAACCAAGAATAAATTATATCAACACCCATAATTCCAGTATTTCACGCTTTTCTGTCATTCACCATGTCTTAGTTCAATCTTCGTAATTCTTCAACTGTCACATTTTTTATTTGGACTCCCTCTTTTATGTTTACCTTTTATTTATTTTCTAGTATCCCGTCTAGATTTTACATGGTCAAATCAACGTAGTATAATTTCCTTCAATTTAGTTTAAATTAAAGCGGTTATTAAGGTTTTCTTAATGACTTCGTTCACGTTCTCTTTAGATTTACTCAGCATCCATCTGAACAATTTCTCATTTCTGTTACACCCATAATTTTGCGCAACCTAGTATTCGATTCCATACATTAAAGCCAGCATATACCTTAACAATAATAGAAGGATTTTGCTTACAAGGCTAGGCAATGAAACTTTGTAACAATTCAATGGATTTCAAAGGGGGGCAAATGAGGTAAGATATTGGTTCACAAAAAACGCGACATTGATCATCATTTGTATTTTTAAGATAGTTTTTCTAGTAATCCGTTAAGACTATTTTCTTCAGAGTCCTTATTAATTTCATCAAAAAGAAGGAAAGCGAGGCCTTTTATGGTCAACGGATTTTGTCATTTTCAGATAGTTTTTAAAGTATCTCGCCACGATTTTTAGCTTAAACATTCTCGGTAAAACTAATACAGATATCTAGTTTATTTTAAGGATACATGAAAAAATATGGGTTATTTTGTAAAACTGCCCAAAAATATCTAATAATAATAATTTGTCGTTTTTCTTAGTAGATTGCTTTATTATAGTTTGTGAATCTTTATAAATATTCTTCCACTTTAAAATAATGACAATATTTTTCCAATATGAAATAATGACGATATTCTTCAAATATAAACATTAAAATTAATAGCAATATATCATCAGATATCAATAATTGCATATTCTTCAAATATAAAAATAATGGCGATCTTTTCCCATTTAAAATCATTATAATATTTTTTATTTAGATTATAATTATTAAACCGTAAAATTTTTATTTCGCGGTAGTTTAACTGCTATATGATTACATTTTCTATCATATAATCAGTGTAAATCACAATTCTCGTTTTTTACACTTAAAACATAAACATGACCCATCCTGATTTGATTGCAATGAATCAACCTTATTTATATCTAGGCCTGAAATTCTTCACGTTAGAATTTTCTACACTAGATTTTTGTAATGGGAAACCCATTTTATAATTATGTTCTTTTACAATACAAGTTTTAGAATAATGGCCTTTGTAATCACACCGATTACAAATCATTTCACCAACAATTATTGGAAAACCTTTTCCATAGGAAATACTTTTATCACCGAATTGTTTTTTTTATCACCTTGATTACTCATATTAATCAATTTAAATATATCACTGTATATATCTTTGATTGATTCTTTTATTTCTTTTAATCCCTGGAGGACCACCACTGATCTCTCCGCGCATTCTTGAATATTGCGAGAATTATCTGACACCACAGTCTTTGTATATATCTTTGTCACTACAAAGATACATTTCTTTAGTAAAATTACTAAAATGAATAACCCATATATTAGGACCAATATTAATATTGTCATTAACGAATTATTTAAATCAAATTTATCAATAATTTTATACACATTTTGATAAGTAATATCCTGATGCCCTAAAATTTTATTAAATAGGCTAGGCTCAATATCAAAATTAAACATAAAGCCCATCTCATTATCTCAAAAATTTATATTACTTTAAATTTGCCGTGTTAAACAATAATTCCAAAATATTTACAAATTCGCTTTTTTACCTTACACAACCGATATAATTTAACAATTTTATCCTACAAAATTTTAAATTATTTTACGGCTTAATTCCAAAAATATATATATACAAATTGCGTTGTCTTTAAAAAAAAATTTTAAAATATAATAATTTTTTTTTAACCTTTTATCCAAATTGGAATGATATCACTGTGAACTGTGTCACTTAAAATCTTCCAAAAATTTTTATACACGTTAAAACCTTGAGTGCGAAAAATCCTGGTGTCAGCGGTCACCACTAAAAAATTCTTAACTATTTCTTAATCCAAAAAAAACAAACTCAACTTAAAACTAAATACCAAATTCAAAAGAAAAGACCAAAAAACAATTAACAAGATTATCCAAATTAAGATTATTAAAATTTATGATTAATTTTCAAAATATAAAAAGAAACAATTTTTTTAAGGATTTTACAAAATATTTTTATTTTATTAATTTCTAATCAAATAATATTGAAAAAATATCACAAAAAACACATAATGAATTTTTAACAAAGTAAAATCAAAATAAAATAATTATATTTTGATTGACATTTTAATAATTAAATAAATATCAACAAAATATTACAAACTAGGACAGATTAGAAGTTATAATGGACAGGTTTTATATGTTCTTCACTATTTAAAAATGGGTATGCAGGGGAGGAGAGAAAAAGATTTAATCGCCCTCTATGGGGTGGTGGAGTGCCCACTTAATTGTGGGATGTCTCCCCAGTGTTTGATAGGATAGGATAGGGCTCGATATAAAAGATTCGAGTAGAAGTGCTCAAATTTGATGTGAGAAAGAAATTAAAATAGTAAATAATGTTTCTTACAAGTAGTATAATTATATAAATGATTATTTATTATGTATAGGAGCCATTCTAACCTTTTTAAAAATGGGACGCTATGTCGTAAAACTTAAGATTAAAGATTACAAAGTTTATTAACCGAACTCTATTTAAAATTAATATAAAGTATTTTATTCAGGCAAGACCAATACTAGGTTGAGCGTATGTGCGTAGCAGTACACATATATAGTCATCTTGGGATTAATGGAGTATCTTTCCTGGAATCCTGAAAGATGTCCTTTCATATCACCTACCCCATAATATGCTGAGCAACACAAATAGCATTTATAGAATTGTTATTTAGGAGTATTTATTAGTGTTTCAATGACTGCAACCAGGTCATCAACTTTTTCAAAAGATATAAAAGATTCTTTTAGTGTTTTCGTTTTATCAACTAATCTAACATATAAACTAAATTAATTGATCACCCGAGCTTACTTCACGATTGTCATTAGCCATTACCTGCTTATTTAATTGTGATTTAGGTGAGCAATAATGTGCATTGCTATTAAAACATCGTTCAAAATTAACGAAAGCATAAATCTCTTAAGTAACATTAAAATTAACACTTATGTTGTGAAATAATTAATTGAATTTAATTACAGCTTGATTTCCTTACATATATCAACTAAACTTAAGTTTTTAGGTATGAGAGTGATAAAGTGGTAGGCCAGGTGGCCGTGAATACAAATGTTCCAGGTTCAATCCCCTGTTTAGTACATATCTGATAAAATAATATGTTCAAACACCTACAAATAAATTTTTCAAATAAGAATAGATTATCAACATTTTTTTTACAGATTAATAATAATTTTAAAATTTGATTCTAATAGGTGAAAATAAACTTACAAATATTTATGCTTTCGTATTTCAATTATTTAAGTATTTTTTTAGTATATTCTTTGAATTGGGTATGATTTGATTTTCATGACAAAAATAATGAGAAACATAATATATATATATATATACAGTGAAGAGGGGGATATTTTTCACCAGATGTTAAAACAAAATAAAAGGATACTATTATATTTTTATTTTAATCATACTTAAACATTAATCTATGTTAAAAAAATTTTAACAACTTTTTTTAAAAAAAAAACTTTTTAAAAAAAACATATTTTTTCACATATCATTTACGTAATTTAATATTTTTGTATATTTAATTTAATATTAATTAATTTTTCAATCTTATAATGTTTAATATAGACCACATTCTTTATAATACATCTCCTTTACTCTCAAGTACTTCTGTAAATTATTCTTTGCCAATCTCAGATGGGAATGATATGGAAAATTATCAATCACAGTCTAATATTTCTGCAAATAATAATTCTTTAGCAACTATTAATGAAAATATAAATCATTCTCAAATATCATCCATTCCTAAACCCAAAAGAACATACAATTGTTGGAACAAAGATAAAATTGAAATGGTAATGAAAATATTAGCAATGCCAGAGGAAGAACAGATGAAGGTTAAGGACATTGCTAAATTTGTTAATATGTCGAAGGCATCAATACATAAAATAAAGCGGGATACATTTCCAGAAATTATTGGTGAGCCCCTAAAGGAATTCTCGCTTAAACAAAGGGGGAGAAAAATTAAAGACACAGCAAATATTGAAAGGCAAATTATGGATTTGCTAATCGACAATAATACCTTCACGGTGAAGGATATAATTGAGAATTTGCCCTCTGGTTCTCCAAAAAATATTGGAACTATAAGGAAATATATTAAAAACATCCGATGGTCCAAAAAAAGAGCTGGGAATGAACCAGATCGCAGGAATACACCAGGAGCTATCAATATTCGACAGGTGTATTGCCGCAAATTGCTGAACATCTCCAGAGAAAGACTCTATTTTCTCGACGAAACAGGCATCAATTTTCATGTTGTACCTGTCTATGCTTGGGCACCACTCAACGTTAGACCATCAATAAAGGTGCCACCCTCAAAAGGGAAAAATGTAAGTGTACTTTGCACTATAGGAATTTGTGGAGTTATACATTATAAAATCATCGAAGGATCATATAATGGTATGTTATTCCGAAATTCATTAATGGATATTATTAGTATATTACCACCAGATGCCATATTAGTTATGGACAATGCGTCAATACATAAAAGTCATCTAATTGATGACTATAAAGAGAGAATTGAATATCTTCCCCCATACTCACCACAATTAAACCCAATTGAAAATTTTTTCGGGGTTTTCAAAAACAAGTACAGGTCATTAATTCCCAGACCAAGTACAAGGGAACATATAATAAATAATATTAATCAAATAATGAATCAATTTATTCCATATGATTTTACAAATTTCTATAATCATATGCAACATTATTTGGAGCTGGGCTATCGTGGACTACCTCTTGACTAAAGTAATCTAATTATATAATAAATTACGATTAACATTTTTTAATATTTATAGGTACTACTTAAGCAAGCAATTTATGACTATGAACTATCATTAAATATTTCATATTTTATTAATTAATATTCATGTATTAGTGTAATTACGAATATATTTCTTATTATATATAATTATATGTATTACATATACGAATTGAATAAAATATTAAATTAAAGTTATGTCTCAAATATGATAAAATAAAGTGAGAGAAAAAAACTATTTTAAGAAATAAAAGATTCTGACTAAGATCTTACAACTTAAATGAATAATTTATCATTATATTTAAAATTATTCTACATAAAATATCGTTAACTAAGTAAAAGAAAATATGTGATGACAAAACTTTTTATATTTTTTTATAAAAATTTTTTTTTATGTAAGTGTGACATTTAAAAAAGTTGTTTAATATTTTTTTAACATAGATTAATGTTTAAGTATGATTAAAATAAAAATATAATAGTATCATTTTATTTTGTTTTAACATCTGGTAAAAAATATCCCCTCTTTCACTGTATATATATATCAGGGACCTACAGAGGAACCATTTGCATGGCCTGCCGGCGTAGCCAGGATTTTATCATGGGTGGGGGGGGGGGGGTTGCCCCCCAAACCTCCTATTTTTTTTAACACTTAATTGCTTATATTTTTGGATTTGTTAAAATTGTTTTATATTTTCATATAACAAAATTTTAGGCTATTTTATTATATATTTTACATTCCTTTATTTAATCATATATATATTTTTATTAATTAAAATATTTTCAAAATGTTGATATTTTATATAATACAGATTTTAATATTAAAAATTATGTATAAAGATTCTATTTTAAAAAAAGTAATTTTTTATAATTATATAAAATATGTGTAATTCTTATGCAAATAATGGTATTTATGATGATATTATCTTATAAATAATATATCTTATAAATAATACTTTTTTTACAAAAAAAAAGAAATCTTATTGCTATTTTTTGATTTGAATTTAAAAAGAGAGATCTACTTTTCTCAGAGATTTTGCTAATTCATCTAGAATCAAATTTTTATCTAAAATAATCTCCTTGTTAATATTCAATAGGGCTAATCCATTTAAACGTTTTTCACCGGTTGTGTTTCTTAAATAGGTTTTTAACCTTTTTAAAGTTGAAAAAGACCTTTCATTAATGCAGGTACTAATTGGCAAGGTAGTTAAAATTAATAATGTTTTGATATTAGGCAGGGAATCTAAAATGCAAATACACATGGAAAGGGCCTACAGAGCATTTTTTGGTCTCAAAGAATACCCTATTCTGTCAAGATTTTTATACCAAAATTCGACATCACAAAGTAACTTATCATATGAACCTACTAAATCATCAGCATAAAACTCTGAGATTTTATTAATATCCTCTCGTGTTTCAAGTGTAATCAACAGTTTAGACTAAACCGGCAAAAGAAAATAAAAGCTTTGAAAATATAATTATATAAATCTTTCTTTTAATTGAAATAAAAATGTATCAATAAGAGGAATAAAAATGTTTATTTTGTAAAAATCCTCAATCGTAGATGCATCAATATTTGATCGATTGGATTGTCTAGAGACTACTCTAGGTTTAAAAATTTCAATTCCAAACATATTAGCAATCTCCTTTACTTTTTCATATATTTCATGAAATTTTTCATCCACATTCTCTCTGATATTTGTTGATATTTCAACATTATCTTTGCTCTATTCATAATCTCCCTTAAATCCAAATCAATTTTTTGTAGCATTTTGCTAAAATCATATGTATAATTAAATAAAAAATAAACATATTGAATTGAAATTAAAAACTGTGGCTTAATAATAGCCTGCAAAAGATTTTCGGCATCTGCTGAATCTTTTTCCTTGCTTGATATATAAAATTCTAGTGCTGCAAAGACAACATCATATATTTCAATAAAGAGTTTCACCAACTCTTGTCTTTCGATGAATCTGGTCGGACAAAATTTTTAGTTTTTTTTTTGATTTTTTAAGTCAATATCATGATACGTTTGAATAAATAACTTCCTTTTTTTGGGTGGTGTGAAATAGCTGCAAACCAATAAATATAAAAATAATCAAATGTGTATATCTATTATTATTTATAATAAATTTAAAACATAAAAATCAAGCGTTTATTAAGAATTTATTAAATTAAAATTAAAAAATTTAAAAAAAAAAAATTTTTTTTGAATTTTTCATGGGCCCCCATGCCTACGCCACTGCCTGCCGGATTTTTTTAAAATATATTAAATTTATTTTTAATTTTTATAGCTAATAATGGCGATTTAAAATATTTGGTACGGCCCAGCAAAATTAAAATCCGGCCCTTGTACGCGGGTTCGGTTTAGAGCCGGGCCTGCAGATCTCTATGATTTTGTTGCTGGAAAAGCAAAAATAATATTCATATTAGGGTTAGATTTGTTGAACTTAATGTTAAGACTAATTTTTGGTTATATATACACTAAGTCATGTGATTTAGTTATTTTGTTAAAGGAATAAATATCGGCTAAACACAATTGGAATAAAATATAATACAATTATACAGGTATAAGTTATACAAGCTCATATATGACAAGCAAAGTTTTAAAGGGTTATTAGAAGAGTGGAAAAGAGGTCTTTGAAAATTCAAATTTTATTAACCCTAGTTTTTTATATTTTAAAAAATACAATTTTTTACAACATATTTGTCCATAAGAATCAAATAATAATAACATTACATATATCAAAAATATAACGGAAAAACCTTGAATTACAGAATTTTTTTTTAAAAAATGTGTAGGGATTGATTTATAAACTACTCACAAATATACATATGTGACATGTAATTTTTAGAACAGGTGAGCTTTACCTTTTTAAAGTAAAATAAAGGTTATATTCTCCTTGTATCCCTTATGTTGGTTAGCGTTTTGTTTGTTCGAAAGAAGTGAGATGTATAAGATATAATATTTGAGGAAATTTTGTCGGTTTTAAACAAATCTTTTAATTATCAAAGGAATAGTAATTTATTTTTTTTAACTAATTTCAGCAAAAGATATCTTATAAGTGCTCAAATATAACGATTTTACCTAATACAAATTTGGAATAAAAGGACGTAAAAATTTAATATCATTTGCGCGTGTGACAACATTTTTTTTCATCTCTCACCTGCCCACTATTGACTTTTTTTTCAAACATACGTATAATTAAAATTATAAAAAAATTAAGTAATATTACTGATGGAAAACAAAAGTAAAACCTCCTGAAGATGACCTAATCTCAAACTTTAATAATCTCTAGAATATAAATTTATTTTCTTCTATGAAATGATTTGAATTGTTAAACTATTTTTTCCATGTGACTTTTTCCTTAACATGACCGATAATAAGTCATCTATGACTGGTCATCTTAGTGAGGTTTTACTGTTGTAATTAATTTTTTTTAAACTTTTACGTTTGTAGCTGTTTCTATAGATATATTATTAGTTTAGTATACATACATTATAGTTTTTATAAATTTTTTTATTGCTAGGGAAGGGATATTTAATATGTTTGGAAAAATATAAATATAATATGTAAATTTTATGTTATATTTATTATTATAATATTTATGAAAGTTAAAAACTTATTTAAATTTTTTTTTAATTATTTCATCGCATTGTTTTTGGAACGTTATAAATATAATAAAAATTAAACTCTGTCGATAAACTATGGCTTATTAAATTTTTTCAAAAATTCTCGATAAAAATTCAATACAAAATATATCGATAATACAACTGCAGACATAATATTTATTAGCTACGAACGCAATTATACTTTTACTAATAATTAATATGAAGTGAAGAAAATGTACCAATTCGACCAAATTTTATCATTACTATGTATTATATTGAATAAAAGTGATTAAAATAACACATATTAATTATGAAATCTCATTTCGCGAATATTGGTTCTACCTTAATACCATCTAATCATAAATCTCGTTCTGATAGGAAAAAGTTAAAAAAAGTGTACGTTCAAGGGGACGAACAAGAGTACCGCTTCTTGGATCAGTTATTCAGTGTTAGGCCCCGTTTTATCGAGGATATTTTGAGTAAGTTTTTTTGTTAATTACTGTTACATTAAATCGAATAATGCTTTTATTTATAAAATAGGGCTATATATTTGTCTCTGGTGTGCATTTCATGTTAAGATTAAATAATTACACAAACTAGATATTTTTTTAGTATTAAATTCTTGTTGGTATATCTGATGAAAGTCATTTAATAATTTGCAAATTTATAATACACGCTCCATAAGTTTTGATTAAAAATTAAACTTTGAACAAATAAATTCTGATTTATCGTTTTAAATTATACATTATTTCCAATAAAACACCGTTTTATTTTGATTTCATTGGCGCTGGTTTTATTGATCTGCTACAAGCTCAAATTAAGAGTTTTGAAATATATATATTAGATTATGATGGTAAATTAAATATTTCGATTAGGAAGCCCAGCCTTTTACCCCCCCCCCCCTAATGACGCTGAGCCCCCCTCCTCCGGGGACTTAAACCATTCAATTTTAACCACACGAGATTTCAATGACACTATTGATTCAAACCCTCCCCCGTATTAAATGTCCTTGTGATATATTTAAATATTTTCAATTTCATTATTTCAAAAAGGTAAAATTTGGAGCGAGAACACTGCAACAAGCAAAATTAAGTTTCATTCTTTATGAATGAGAACCATGAAAACATGTTTAAAATTTATCAAATGAATATAAGGTTTTATAATATTCACTTTAGATATAACATGTATAACCCAAAACTTTCAAACTCGACGAACTCCCCCTCCCCCAGATACCTAGTGTTTATGCTATTGATTTTTAAGTTACCATGCGAGAGAGAGGGTTAACTATAGACTATCAGAACCTCAAATAAAACAACAAATCATAAACTAAAAATTTAATGATGATTATATTTTCTGCCTGTAATGGGCCGGTTTTAGCCTGCCCACCCCCATAAGAACTGGTTATAACTCCGCCTATTACAGACTTTCATTTTAATATATAATTCTCTAATTTACTATAAAAACGGATAAATCATGTAGCAATAAAATCCATACAATAAATATTTTTACATAGTATAGGCGATCTTTTTTTAAAAAATTATCGTTTTTTCATTTTGAGGATACATCCCTATAAAATTATAGTATCAAAATCAATCTGTCTAATTTAAGTAAATTCTGTGGTGTTTAAATTAATATTTATTAGTTATTGAGCTAACCCTGATGATTTTGAACAAATTTTGCGGTGCTCAAAATAATTGGACAGATTTTTTTGTTCATTTTAACAAAATATACATGAACTATAAAATAAGAATGCAAGCCTCATATGAATAATATTTTTTTACATTTCATCAAAGGCACTAGCTAATTGAGTACGCACGCTATACACATTTTCATAATTATATGAAATATACCATACCTTAATATAAAATGAGAAATACTAAACATACATTATTATCGTATATTCGTAAAATTATAATAATGAATAAAATCGATAAACATTAAAAAATATACACATCGTATTTGGAGTATCCACCGAATAATTATTATTGTAATTTATAGATAATTCGTTTGGGTCGCAATATTTTCATTATATATTTTTTTTGTTTGTTTTTTAAAAATTTATTGTATGATGATTATTTTTCCCCGCATCATTGTTTAGTTTTACCTATATATGATTTGAATCAATTTATTCGAATTATTTGAAAGAACCTCCAAATAATTTGCAAAGTGGTTCTCAATTTGGTCACCGAAGGGGCTCGCTGCCTATAGTCAACTCATTGCAATTCAACGAGGAAATGGATCCCAAGAAAAAATTATTCTCCCAACAATCCTCCTACATGAATCAATCCAATCTATCTCTTTCGGTATGATAAAATATTAAATTGATTAGATTTAGAATTTTCGATGTTTATAGTTAAATAAAAATATATGCATACCTCCAAAAATATTTTACTAATATATTGCAAATTTATTTTTGCTTCATATTGATAAATAATGTCAACAATTTAAAACACGTCCATCCATCAATGCGTTTAATTTTTTTAGGAATATCATAGGGTTAAAAGTAAGTATTAAAATTGATTTGTAAAGATGGCAATCTATAAATCTAATTTTAACATTTTATCCCCAATTTACTACAAAATATTTCATAAACGTTCGTTCACACTCAAAAAATAATTGATATGATTTGGGCATGTGGCTTGCTCCACATAGATTTTGAAGATAATTTTTTTTTTATTCGATTTCAAAAATAACCTAACGGTAATATTTTTTATTTTTTTAAACGATTTTTAGAACGTTTTGAACGGTTTATTCCGCGTTAAATCTATCAAAAACAACTTAAAAAGGACGAAAAGTGTCATTAAATTAGATAATAGGAAACGGAAATCAGCGAATGAAAGGTATTAAATTTTTTAATAAATTCATTCCATTTAAAAAATTTAAAATGGTCGCTAGGTTCGATAAATGGAATAACGTCATAGGGTAGAATTTATAAATAAATATTCATGGTTGGAATTGTAATTTTAAAATGCCCTATATCGATGTATATAATAAATTTGGTTCAATATTCTTATAAAATATTTCCTTCACTACCATATATAATTTATAATATACAAAAATGTAATTACTTTTTTTAATAAGCAACTATAAAAATAAAATCTATATTTTATTTATGTTGGAATTAGAGTTTATTGTCTCCTTAAAAAAATATGGAATTTTAGCCACAATTCAATATCCTTCCTTATTTATTTTTTTAAGGGGACAAAAAATAGTCGTTCGAGTTTTTCCTCATTTTTACCATTTTTTTAAATTAAAAAATCATTTAATTATTTCTATCATTTACATTAAATTTTACATTTATTCGCTAGTTATTATTCTATGGTTAATAAACAAGATTAGTAATCCCGCATAAATTAATGATTTCATATAAATTTCTCACCATGTAAGCCAATTAAATTTATACCTTATTAAAAAGAATGATTAAAAATTCCTCTCGTTTAAAAAAAAATTTATAACTTTTTTATCGGTAATTAAATTAATATAAAATGTTATATAATTATCTTTATTTGATGTATGATGTAATATAGCGAGGGTGACCGATTCAGATTTTTGATTTATAATTGTAAAAAATTTCCACTCGAAATAAAATTTCAACCCGTTTGGGAAATGGAAATTGTACTAAATACGAGGAAATATGATGGTCTCTCCTGGGTATTTCATTTTTTTAAATGAAGTTTTCAATGGACATGTCACGGATGTAATTGGATTATAATAGTGCTTCCTTTAGAATTTATCCTTAATCCTCTTATTTTTTAAATTTTAAAACACCTTATCAATCTCATTCGTGCCTTCTTGGGTTCAAATAATTTCTATCTCTTATCGTAAATTTTCTAAACACATTTGACATTTATAATCAATAAATTTGATCCTCGATGCTGCTTAAATTAGACAAATTAGCGCCATGATAAAATAATAATTTAGGACTAAATTGATCAAAATTTTATTTTTTAACAAAGATAAATATCTAAATATATTTTTTTTTACTTTCAAGATTATATATATTCGATAAATATCTAGTTGTCCTAAAAACATTTCTCATTTAGTTTCATCCTCTTTTCGAAAATTAGTCTTAGGAACTTGGACTAAAAAGGATTCCTGTTTCGGTTCTGAATATCTTTTTAAAGACACAAATTTTAATCCTATCGATATATTACATAATTACTCTTTATATTATATATATAATTTCTTATTGTGTATCATTTGATCGGTAAGCTTTGAAATTTTACTAATAAAACAAAATTTTATTTTTTCCTTTTGATCGGCAAAATTTACAAAATGGTCATCGTTTAAATAAATACATTGTATTATTGAAAGCTTTTAAAGCATTTTTTATCAAAATGAAATAAACACATTTTTAATGATCGAAATTCTAAACAATTTGATGTTGGTGGCCTTCTAGATTTTACTTTAAAAAGTATCTGGTACTTTATAATAAGACCCTTTAAATTAAATATTATGTAAAATTTATATTTTTATCCCATATTCAGTCATAGATATGGAATCAGGGATTCTGAATATTTCAATTATAAATCTTATTTACCGGAGACGATTTTTAAATTCAAAAAATCTGATTTAACTTAGAGACCTGCAGGCCCGGACCAAAGCTCAGGCCGAGCCATTTGAATTTTGTTTTAAGATAGCCCCAGGCCTGACTTAAATAAAAGACGGGGTTTGATTTTTTGCCTATAAATCCGGGCTGGGCCAAGTAATAAAACTAGTATAACATGTCATTTTTTATATAAATTATTAGAAAATAATTTACAATATAACAAACCACAGCATTTTTATTTGTCCATGTATACTTTACTTTACAAGGTAAATAAAATAGTTTTGTGACTAATATTATAATTTTTATTTTTAGTCAATCAATACAACTTTATAAAATAAAATACGTTGCACCAAAAATGAACACAAATGTAATTTTCCTTTATTAAATGAAAAATAATCTTCATTTTAGAATAAAGAAGATAAATGTAAAATTTATTAGATATATTAAACAATTTCATATTAGGTGAAAAACGAACCGTAAAATGCTGGTAAATTTTTTACAAACCCGTTCCAGGTATTGCTTGGTACTCTGCTTGTCTTTAATATATATTAATTATTATATTGACTCTTAATTTATATTTTTAAAAGTTGCACAAAAGTTAATGGCAATGCTGAAATATATTTCCGGTCAAAACAGATTTTTCAAATTTAAAAATTAAAATGAAATTTGGAATCCTCGTGGATTCTATGTCAGGTTACGAAACATGTTCAATTGGTACCGACCCAAAGGATGGAAAAATTTTATTTTAATAAATAAACATTTTAGCGTAAATTGATTAGATATCTTGTTTATTTGTCATCATCGTAAATATCCTCATAGGAAATCTGCAAGGCCGGACAGGTTTTTCACTAAATTATAAAAGTGCGTAAGAAATTTAACCAGTTGGGCTATCATATACAAAATATTAACCCACCGGACCGGATAATTCGTGCATATAAAATTGGGCTAGGCCTCGCAAATCTCCGATTTTGAAGCTCATTTTATTAGCCTAATTAAATTAAATCTAAAAATAAAATACCTATTTCATCGAAAATTATAGAGGGAGCTGGATATTTCGTAAATTTTAATGAGTCCGGGCATTAAATTTTTGATGTTTTTTTAAATCTCAAGCTTATATTTTGATTAATATTATTTGAAAATTTACAATATGCTTATTTCTTTGTATTTTACGAGCTGTCTAACAAAAATAAATCTATGAATAAGGTAGTAAATTCACAAAAATTAAGTTATTTATGATTATGATATGATCCAATTTCAAATATAATACAAATACAATACAGATATTATCAAAACACAATTGATTTATAAAACGGTTGTTATAGAAATAGATAGCCATAGAGTAGATATTTATGAGTCTTAATTGATTAGGTAAAAATTAGTAAAAATGTGATAACCGAATAATTCCTAAAAAAATTTAACAGGCCGGATCAGACTTTTCTAAAATTTTAAAGGACCGATACTTCGGGCACTTCCTTAATATAAGTAAAACATTGCCAGTGATCATATTATATGTCCATTTTAGAAAAAACTCAACTAATGAGCGCTTTCATTTTTTTAGGTTTTTTGTTTAATGAATTTTTAATTTTTTACAGTTAGAAAATAAAAAATAATGAAAAAAATAAATGTACAGTACATTAATCTTTCTTTCGAGTAATTTAATTTGTACTTTTGTATCAAAAATAAAAATGTATAAAACTTTTTTAATTTTCCCATAAGTAAGAAAAAAAATTGACATTTTCAGGAAATTAATTAACATATTTATTGATGTTACTTCCATCAATAAAACTTCAAAAGAAATAAAGCAAAAAAAATTACAAAACGAATCGAACATGAAATGATGCGTTATAAAATGATAACAAATCGTTTTTATATTATACAATGTAAACGCTTTTTTATTACATTACAATTTGTATGTATAGATGTAATGTGTATGTCTTAGTAAGTATAGAAATATGAATTTGTATCTCAGTACAACGTTAATTTTAATCGTTAAGTTAGAAAAAAAATTGTCAATAATAAAAGGGGAGGATAATGTAATCATTTTTTAAATTTCGCTAACAATTTTTTTTTCCTCTAACACAATATTTAATATTTGACCTACCTTTTTCTCATTTATACCTTTTTTTGGAGCGATCGTTCACCGATAAAATAAATATCCAAATTATGATGATTAAAAACGTGCATAAATTCCTCATATTTCTTTTAAAAAAGTACAGCCGGAAAGGGATTTTCTCGATTCTTATTAGAATGAGTAGTAAATTAATTTTTATCAATTTTCTTATTATAAATTTTTTTTTCTTCTAAAATTGAAAGGAGCTATTGATCCTCAGGAGATTTGTATTTAAGTGTTAACATTAATATCATCTATTTTTTTACTGAAAAATTAATTAGCCTTAAATTTTTAATATTTTTGATAAAATTTAATTTTATATGTATATATCTTATTACACTAAATACAAATCTCCATTTCATTTACCAAGAAACATGTGTAAACTTTTTTATTTTTTCGATTAGTCGTCATCTTTTCAAAGACTATTAAAGTTGTCTGTTCGAAATTTAAATACGCTAAATATTAATATAAGACTTGTACCTTAGATATAATTTTAAAAATAAAAAGGAACATTATGGAAAAGGATGAAAAAAAGATTTATAATAATAATGAATTGGATATTTGAGGATGTAACTACTAAGTAGGAAAAAACCTCATTTATTCCATTTCTCACTTCTATAACTAATTAATATTGATTTTTGTTCTCGAATTTTTCACTGCCCATACATTAATATTTGTGTTACAATCACGAATATTTTTATTTGGAATAAAATTTTTGTTTTATTATATAGATTCTACACACGACGACCGTGAATTTCGCAATTTTTTAATAAATTTAGAATAATGCACATTTACGATTTTTCATGGATAATTTGTATGGGGCTGGTCAATGACAATAATATTACCTAACGCAGGGTTGGAAACCAATATTAAAAACCCAAAATTAACAATATTATATTGATATTGGATCTAAAATATTGATATTGGATCTAAAATATTGATTTAAACAATATTTTCTATTTCTTGTATTGGTTTATATTAATATTGGTTTAAAATTTAAATTATTAATTAAAAGAATAGAAATAGTGATTTAAAAACACGTAATCTGTAGTTTTAAGTAAACATAATAAAAAAATCATGAAGCATTATTGTTAAAAACATGGCTGAGAACCAAATCTCAAAATTTTACTGAATTTAAATTCTTTTTTTAAACTAGAATTTAGTAAGTGACGTGTATCAACAAACCTAGCAAAAAAAATGCATTGATTTTGAAACTTTTTATTTAGCACAAAAATATAGCAAAATGAGTAAACTAAAATATAATTTTATTTATATAAAATACAATGCAAAAGATTGATATAATCTAGCATAAGGGAAAATAATTTTATGTCTAAGAAGGATCCAGCATGCGCATCCAACTTCTTAGGCAGAGGCAACCTTGGATAGTATGTTCATCTAGTGAACAACGTTGATCTGTTATAAGATACCATCCTTCTGAAAACGCCCTTTCAGAGCTAGCTGGAATTGAAGATAATCTCTGGCAATTTTCTATAATATTAATAGGGATTTCAGAATTTATATCTACAATATTTGTTGAGGGATGGTTCCAGAAATTCTATATAAATTTTTATAATATTCAAGGCGAAGGCACTAATATAATTTTCTTCAGTGGTATTTTGTAAAATTGATATATGTTGTCAAACAGGGTTTGAGCAATATCGCCTTTTCAATCATTTGATATGTTGAATTCCAACGTGTTGGCACATCCAAAATTGGGTGAGGAAATTTTAAAGTTGGTTTTTTAAAAATATTTTTTCATGTTTATTAAATTTAGATATAGAAATTTAATATCTTATTTTTTTAAAGTTGTAAAGGGTTCCAGGGCAGCCATAACATGTATAACATTGCAAAAGCATTTGCACACATTATTTAAAATAAAATTATCTTTTTGATTTAAAATTTTATGCTAAATTATTACTTGCATTGTCTAATGTAATACAAAAAAAATCAATCTCAAATTTTACTTTTAATACAGAATTAAAAAATTTATAAATATTAATAGATTTATGTGCTGATTTAAAAAGAATAAAATCTAATAAATGATTATTTAATTTTAGGTCATTATCAATATAATGAATTGTTATGCCCATAAAGGGTATTTAGTTGGAGAAGGGGAGGACCATTTGTCCATTGAGGAAAATTTAGATATAATGTTTAAATAAATTATTAAACGAGCTAAAATATTGTTTCATAATTTTTGTTTTTTTTCCTAGAAACTAAGGTTATTGAAGGGTTACAATATGCTATTAAATTTTTAAAAGTGATATCCTCATCAATAGTTTATAATTAACTGATTTAAATTAACTTTATTATTTATTTTATTAACTAAAAATTATTTTATTGTGTTAATTTTTTTTACTGTCCATATTATTTGTTTGTTCGCATTTTCTATATAATGTTGGGTGGATGGATTTAAGATGTGTCCATAACCCAGAGGTTCTAAAATTGGTATAAATTTTTTTTGCATTTATTACAAAATAGCCTTATTTTTGTTATCGCAACTTGTATAAAATTCCAAAATTTTTGCTTTATCATTTTCAGTATCACAGCCATTATCTATATTTATTTAGTAACACTATTTGGTCTTCATTCATTATAATATCCTAAATGAATATAAAAATTGATATTATGTAAAAAACATACCTCCATGATAGAAAGAAACTACAATTATGCACCAATATTGATATCACAATACAGAAAAGTTAGTATTTGTACTAAAGTTTAGGCAATTTTAAGAAAGTAAAAAAATATACCGCGATATAATGATCCACGAAAAAACTAAATAAATATATATTTATTTATCTATTTTTAATATTGGTTTTGGTTTATATTGTATTTAAACAATTTATTAAACCAATATATTTATTGGTCTCACTCCTACATAGACTTGATTCATTCATTTCAGAAAATTAATAATATTTAATTAACAGTGACATTAATTTTTTTTTAAATTGGTTACGAATATTTATAAATTTTAAAACTAACGAATAACTCGAATATTTTCTAAATTTACGAATAATCTCAATTTATTAATCAACATTTTTTGATTATGCATTATTAAATTCGAATAAAAAATGTATCGAATATCGAATAATTTTTGATGAGTCTAATCAATAAAAAATCAGCTGTTAGTCCATGGGCTCTAGCTAAGTGGATCTCTATTATTTATATATTCTAAAAACTTAAAATATTTATTTTAATGCTTGATTTTAGGGTATTTAAAAAAATCGAAATCGTTTGATTCAAGACAAAATTTAGACATTTTTTAATAATCAATAATATTTACAAACATAAAAAATTCATTTTTTATATATGATATGGGAATTAATACATTTTTGATATGCAATTTAAATTGATTAACAATGATAACAATGATAGTTCTCAAAATATCTCAAAATTAAAAATTATACAAATGATGAATTCCCATATCATATAAATTAAGTATATCAAAAAAAAATTTAATACTTTAATAAAAATAAAAGCTCAGTGAGTTTTTTTAAGAAAATAAACCTCATTTAATTTTAAAAATTATATCTTCGAAAGCTAATTAAAATTTACGAATTTAAGGCATAATATGAATCCTGGTGATATGCCAGTTGATCTAATTTATCATTTAATAAAGAGGGGGGGGGCATATTATAGGAACTAATCAAAGGATACTATTATTTTTCATGTATAACTTATTTTTACATCAGTCGAATACAAATAAAGTCGCTCATAGACTTTTTTTTACACGGAGCATATATTTTTTTGGATAAGGTAATCAAAGGAGTTTCGACTTGTGTTGAAAAACCTTTAGTCTGCACTATTAATTTTTATAATATAAAAAAGCTATAAGATAAACCATTACTGAAATCCTTCGTTATCTTTCTTTTGCCATAAATCAAACCATATATTTGTTTCTTCTATAAATTTAGTTATTTTATATCGTTTTTGAATTTCCCATTATTAACCTAATGAAGTTCAAATAATAGAAAAGATCTATCGTTATCATCATGAAAACGGGTTAATCGATAAAATGATGATTTGCATTTTTTTTCCCCAAGGAAGGGCATTTGGATGGTTAGTATGGGATAAGTATAATATTCTAAAATGTCGTTTTGTAACCCAGAAAACATTATAGCGTAATTCGAGAAACTATAAAAAGTTAAGAATATTTTTTTACGATGTTTTATCCATTAATTGCATAAATAAAAGGTTTTATTATTTAAATTCTTCATAATTAATCGTGGGGAAAAAATTGAGGTCAGAATGAGATAGCCAAAATATTAAAAAAAATTAATTTTGATTAATTCCAATAAATACATATTAATATGATTTTCAATCGTTACAAAAGACATTTTAGAATATAGCCTATTTTTTTTATAATAGCGATTTCAAAAACTTGAACACCCTGGAATTGTCTAGCCGGCAAGAAGAACTTAAAACGCCACTCAAAAATGGTTTCGTTTCCTTATTCCTCCCCCCTCACTCCCCTTGCATTTCAAAACATGCTCGTTCTTCTAAATATATACACACTGAAGCAAACCGAGAAAATTCCGATTACGAGCCTAATTTTAACAACTTGAATAACAGTTCACTTACTTCCACCGTTGCTCACTCCAAGATAAACGGAAATTTTACAAATTTCAGTCCATGTTCGAGCGACGATTTCTATTCTTCTTCCGATCCAAGATATTCCAAAAAAAGCTCCTATAATTCAATCGTCAATAACAACCCCGAAATATTCAGAGAAAATTCTGTCAATCACTCAGGCTATAAAAACCTAAAAATATTCTCCAATTCTCGCTCTAAACTCGCTTCCAACTCTAAAATTTACCCCGAAAACAATATAAATATGATAGAAAACCGTGCAAGCGATAAAAATTGTACGAATTCTTTTTTCCCTCAAAAATCTATCATGAACGCCCAAAATACCCCTAATCTTCATGCCAACAAACCTAATCCTCATTTCAACAAAACTTTATTAAACCGCGATTCTTTAACGCTAGCCACCCATCACACACTAGACTTAAACCTCCCCGGAATAACCTTGACGCCTACGCATAAGAGCGTATTCAAACAAACTCATTGCCTCAGGGTGTCGACCCCAGTCGCGACAAGTACTTCTAATACACTCGGATCGACACCTAGTCGGACAGAAAATTATTACAGTTTTTCTACCACGGAGGAATACGTTAGATGGATAGAAAGGTTTATTTCCGACATATTTATCCCACTTGTTTTAAATGTCATTATGGGTTACGTTTTTTCTAAGAGTTACCAATATAGAAATAACTTTTTATGGTAGAGGAAGTAGAATTTGTACGATACTAATAGTTGAACGTCCATAATTAATTAGAAGTGTAGATTTTCCGAGAGTTGTTTCTGATACCTTTGAAATGTATCGAGATGCCGATACAATACAATTAAACTATATCGATACTTTTTTGTCCAAGCATATGATATGATATAATCATTTTTTATTACTTAATTATATTTGAAAAGGCTATGCTGGACATAAATAATCAAAATGGGCGTATTTTATTATCAACAAATTTATTTTTTGGGCTATATTTATAGATTTTTAAGCAATAAATTTATCAAAATGGGAAATTAATCTTATGGACAGTATTTGTAAAGTATAAGCAGTAAACAAAATTAAATAAAGTTGAGATTTTATTACCTATATTTTTAATTCAAGTTTTTATTACATATTGTGTCATTGAGCAAATCTAAATATAATCATATTCCTTTGTCCTAATCATCTGTTTTTGGCTAGTTTTATAAACCAGATATTTTTTACAAATATTGTTTATGCAGGAATAGAATTCAATGTATTCATCCTTTATTTAGGGTATATTCTTTTATTTTAATAAATTAGATTATAATATTAATAGTGTATATATTTTTGTAATTCTTTGTTTAATATAAGAAAAAGGATATCATTTGAATAGCAAAATATAATAAAATGAAAAGTAAGTTAATCTATATTAAACAAAATAAGAAATTGGTAAGGTACATTATTTGAATAATAAGATTCTGGTTTAACATTATGCATTTAGTTTAATACATTTTTCATTAAGTAATTTAGAGGCTGTGATAAATTGGTGTTGAGATAATTGTAATTGATTTAGGTAAGCCTGATGTATTCTCATAATGTAAATAATTTCTTTTACAGATGTATTAACTTCGAAAGAGCTATTTTGATTATTATTAATACTTGAAAAAGAAAAAAAAGGATCATTAATTTATTATTGCAAAAATTGATGTTTAATTTATGTTATAAGAATAAAAATAAATATTGGTAAAATTTAATCATAAAGTATCGCCATCAGAGGCAATACTCTTAAATTGAAATAAAATATATGATTATTGAAATTAAGTAAAAATTTCATAATTATACCTGGAGAATTCACATTACAATGGAATATTGTTTATTCTATTTATTCGACGCATGAAAAAGCCCATTGTGAATAGCTTTTACTGCATCTAGCTCTAATACATTTATTTTAACAACATTTTTAATTATTTTTTCTTAAATCCAGATATATACTTGATTTTTTATTTTCCATTCTTATAATTACCAGGTTCATAGTAATCAGGAACCTGAACAAGAGTTCTCAATTGATTTCATTATAATCCTCTTCATTATATAGAAAGACTGAGTTACTCAAATTTATTTTATTTAGGGTTAAAAAAATTAAAAACTTCCCAAGTTAATAAAAAAAATTAATTATTAACTGGTTAAAATTTAAAATAGAAACCAACTGATTTTTATCCTGCGCATTTAATATTAAAAAAACTGCCCAAATAATTTGTCGTCTTTGAAAATAACAACATTACTAAACATTTTTATTTTATTTTAACAATAATATATTCAGATTTTATCAAGGAGACATCTTCTATCAATAAAAATGTTATTTACAACGTGGTCGAGATAGAATAGTAGCTTAATATTTTATAATTAATTGTTGAATATTCTGTTAAATTAAAAATAATAGTAAAATCTTCATTATGTGTGAAAATAATTTTTATTCAATTGTACCATTGGCTAAAATAAAATAATTAAAATCTATAATTGATGTGAAAATAATTTTCAAGGTTTTGTCTTATAAGATTTCCATACGATTCTACGATATTAGTTCATCAAAAAATAAACAATATTTCTTTATTTAAATTTTTCTCAGTAACTTCTATTTGTGAAACTGGAAAAATTGATATTTACTTGATTATTACTGAGCCAGCTTCCTTTTTTTGCGTTGTCAAGGATTTTGATACCAATCCCAAACGCTTCAAATGCTATAAATCTCCTACTGTTTCAATTCGAATTCGGAATTATTAAAAATCTTTATTTGTATAATATTATATTTAAAAAAACACTAATTTTTTTTTATTACTTCTTATAATCAAATTTTTTCGTATTGGACTCTGGCCAATTTTCAAATAAGAGTTCGGATTCGAATCTTTGCAAAATTGTCGGATTAGTAGGACAAAAAATTTAATTTAATTTCTCGGATCTGACCTGGAAAAAAGGTCTAATATATGGCTCTAATGAATGGAGATTTTTTTGCAATTATTATATAATATTTAATTATTACAATCATGTATTTATTTTATTAAGGATAATAAAATTTTTAAAAAGCATCTTTTATAAGGTATAAATGTTTTAAAAAATTGTATGACTTTTTTATAACCGCATATATGATTAAAAATGATATAAAGGTTAAAAAAAAATTCGACTATCAGAATTTGGTGTTTTAGAAATAAAAGGCTATGATATTCACAACCTCGACCTTTATAATTATCTATTCCCTGAATAATTTTGCTGTCATTTTAAAGACAAGTTTTAGCAATTGATTCATAGTATGTAATCAGCCTAAATTATTAATAAAACTGATTTATTTTCGCCCCTCCCCCAAACAATTTTTCATTTTAGTATTAGGGAAGCCATAAACCCTTATCATTCCAGTGTCCGGCGCCGGGAAAATTGCCTGCAAATTTGGATTCTTGAAGCCAAAGGCGTTCCAGCTAAGAAAGGATACTTTTGCGAAATCTATCTTGATGAACACTTTCATTCGAGAACAGCTACCAAAACTAAAGCTGAAATATGTTTTTGGGGCGAAACTTTCGATTTTAAAAGTTATTTTTTTTATTCCAACTCATTAGAAACTTTTATCAAACCAAATTTAAGGGAATCGTGGTCAATATTGTATAATTGATGTAAATGTCAAACAAATCTTGAATTTGATGGCTATGTAGAAATTGTCACTTTAACCTTATTTAAAACTGAATCACTATACAATATTTTCTAAAGATTTACCAGACGTGCAAAATGTTTTCGTCAAATTTTATCGAGACGATAGCTCTTCCAGTGGACCCACTAAAAAAAATAGAAAACCAAAAAGCAAGAAAGATTGCAATAAAGCGAGATTCATAGGTTTTAATTTTATTCTTACGTTTTAAATATGAATATTGGAACTATCTTTTCCGTCTACCTTAATATTAATATAATCACAAAAATAGTTATTGTTATATGATTCTCTTCTCTTTATAAATTTAATGAGCATGCGCAATCTAATACAAACATATCTTATTATCATAGACATAGTCAAGGGATAGGGGGTGGGGTTTCCTCTAGTCAAATTTCCAAACAATAATAATTTCAAAAATTTAGAAAAGGCATTTAAACGTGGCAATAAAAAACCCAATATTACGCAAATGGTGGGTAAAGCACAACAATTCATTCTCCCCTTCTCCTGAAAAATCTTGATTGGGCTTAATATCCATAAACTAATTAAATTTAGCCTTATAATTTTTCAATGTGATATACTTTTATTGCATCAGGCCAGGACCTGTAAAAAATTTATATTTAACATTAGGAAATGTTTCAATTCCCGCAGATCTTATAAAGGGTAACCAATTTTTCGAGAAATGGTATCCTGTCACAACTCCTGGTCAACACTCTTCTCACAAAAGTCAAAGCAGCAGTTGTGATAAACCGTCTATTCGCATCAAAGCCAGATATCAAACATTTGATATTCTACCCCTCTGTTTGTACAAGGATTTCCTAAATGTAAGCTTTATTTTAAAAGGAATGTATGAAAAAAGAAAGCAATTGATAGAAAGAATTATTAGACTACATCGAACGAGTGATGGGATTCTCAAAATTTTCGCTTTTGGATACAGTGGCTCACTAAACCCAAATCGGTAAGAGGGGGGGGGGCAAAACTGTGCAAAAAAAGTTAAATTAAAAATGGGCCTAAAAACGGAAAATTTATTACCCAAATCGAAATATAATTTATAAAAATCTAAAAGCCATTTTTTAAAAATTCTATTTAGCATATAAAATATAATTTTAGAGAGAAAAAAATACATTATTTTAAAAATATAGTGAAAATGTATTTTTGATTCTCTTATTTAAAGAAACAAATTAAAACGGGGAGGGGGGGGGAACTAATCTGCCCTCTTGTAGTTACGCATTGTGGACGATTCATTGTTTTATAATTATTCTAATTATCTTTATTTATGCAGCTACTCACTGAAGATTACCTGATAATATGCCAATATCTAGAAGCCCACATATCCGTCAAAACTAAAGAAGACATATCGACCTCCCTGGTTTATATATTTGAAAACTTTGGTATGGCTCAGGAATTTTTAACCAATATCGTAGAGATGGAGGTGAATAAATTAGGTAATGAGTAAATATTTTTCTATAGAATTTATTAAGAAAGTAAGGAATGTTTTGACCAACTGGCCAAAAGCTTGGCAGAGTTGATCAAATTTTTTATTCTTCCCTTTCAATCACTAAAACATATCTTATGACATAACTTTCTTTTAAATACAAAATTGTGTTAGAAAACGAGAGCCTGACCTTCAGAGGTAACTCTTTGGCCACCAAATCCATCGAAGCCTACATGAAATTTTCGGGACTCTCCTACCTACGCAGAACTTTGCTAGATTTTATCAACGTTATTCTGGAATCCAATGACGATTGCGAAGTAGACCCAACCCGGGTAGCTAATAAGACTGCCCTATATAAGAACCAACAAAATCTCACAATGTATTGTGAGATGGCTTGGACCAAAATTGTCAACTCCTATTCCTATTTCCCTAAGTAAATTGAGATTTGCTCACTTATAAAGATTTTTTTTCTTCTTTCTTACATTTTTTTATTGAAAACAATTAAAATTTGGTGTTTTATTTATTCAAAAGTCCCCTCAAAAAGGTATTTCACAGCATTCGTAAACGACTGGAAGCCTCTAGCCACAAACCCGAGATAAGCGATAACGTTATAAGTGCTTCTATATTTCTTAGATTTTTATGTCCTGCCATTCTCTCTCCCAGCTTATTCGGTCTAGTGCAAGAGTATCCCCAAGAAAGAGCTGCTAGAAATCTTACGCTTATAGCTAAGACTATCCAGACTCTTGCTAATTCTAATAAGTTTTACAAAATTAAATATATTTATTAAATTTTAAAATTTTATTGATGTGTGAAAATGTATTTATATCAACAACATTAATGTTTTATTTTTTAAATTTAATATTTGGAATTGTTAGCGTTGAAATATTTAAATCAACCTCAAACTTATTGATTATTTTAATGAAAACACATTATTTTAATAAACCAATGTCTCACAACTCTATTATTAGGTTCGGCGGGAAAGAGGGCTATATGAATTTCATGAACCATTTCGTGGAGAGGGAATGGATCAACATGAAGTGTTTCTTACGCAAAATATCGACGGTTGATAGTTACGATTCATCCTCATTTAGAACGGATAAGAGTGAGCAAAATTGCCTGACATTGCGATTCCCCGAATTCGAGGATTATAATGAACGGATGGTTTATTTAATTATTTAAAAAGTCACATGATTATTTTTATATGCTGTGGCTAGGTTCATAATTCTGGTCATTTCATTTATTAACCAATTTTTCCCACTCATAGCGAAAATGTAATGGTATTTTTGTAGGTATATTTGTCAAAAGCTTATTCCTACCTAAGACGGGTAAGGCGCGGATTTCCTCAACTTACTCTGTGTCAGGACTCATTATATGTCTTTTCAGCCTAGAGAACTGGTCATAATCATCAAAGGGGGAATCATATTTAAATCGAAAAATTTCCACTGGAATATAGAATTTTAAGAACATTATGATTAGGTCTCGGTAGGAATAAATTGAATTTTCCCAAAGTTCGACATATTCTAGAATATAATCTCGTTCTATATAACCTAAGTTAAGTGCATAACTTAAAAAGAAATAGCTTCTAAGAATCTAACGAATAAAGTATTTTCGAGCATTCTATGAATGAAAACGAAACAATCATAAGTAAATCAACGTTGAAAGGAGCAATCATTTTAGGAATTAATTATATAACGTTTATTTGAAACGGATCTGGGTAACAATTAATTTGAGATATTTTACAAATATAAAAAATATATCTTTTAAATCTACCCATTTAAAATTAAAAGGACGAATCATGCAATAGTTACTACAATAACTCCAGCTATAATTTAAGCGGAATAGACTTGGGTAAAGAACTATCCTTAACTTACAGTCGCCTCATAGAAACTATGGATAAAATGGACACCATATATGAGGTAAATTGCTAAATATTATTTTATAAAAGTAGAATAATATTTTGTAAATCAGAATAAGATATTCTTTGTATAATTATATATTTTTTATATTATATAATGATAGATTTATCCCTTTAAAAATTTCCCAGATTAAAATATTTGACCTGGAATGAAGGTTAAGAAACATATATCGATGTATTATTTACTACCACTGTAAAAAATTCCGAACTTTTCTATAAATATGACAGAACCACAATTATATTATGCCTGTTCACTTATTACACATTACCAGTGTCGGGGAAATAATTATCCGCAATGGGATAGAGATTTAAATATCTTATTAAAAAGCAAAATATATCCCACAAATTGTTTGTCTTTTGCACAATAGAGTATATTAAGATATTGTCTCCGTTAGACACTAACTAAAATGTGATATCATAAAATTAACATAGACATATGTAACTATGGAAGTAGTGCTTAATATAAAATCGAAATTTGACCATAAAATAAATACAACCATGTTAACGTATGCCATAGGTAAAAATTAAAACATTTAGAATCTCGAAAATCTATTAAATAGAAATTAAACATCAACATATTCCTCTTTCTTGCGTTGAATTCCCTTAAACGTATTGATGTCTTTCTCATCATTTTTTCATCCTTTGTTAACCTGAATCGTTTACTTTCCCTAATTTTGTCGCCTTTCTTTTTGAACCCCTTGGTGTTATTTTTTTTATCGCTTCACCAAACTTTTACAAAACACCAATAGTGTACATTTAGACACAAGAATGAATCCTTTATTACTCGAAAAAAAAAGATAATTTGGCTTATATCCTATTTTATTGAAGATTTTAATAATATGGATGTGATGCCAAAGTCTTGATAAACATAGTAGATGGTTCATTTTTTTTAACAAGTAGATATTATTTTTATATAACATACTCTTATCTTGTATTAATTTTTCTAATTCTATGAATCTATTGTCTTCATATTTTTCTGATGTAGTTATTAAAGAATATGAATGTTCTATTATTTGAATAGATTTAACAATACAATAAATACATATGAAAGTATCTTTTTATATCGATATCTTGTGAAAAATGTATTTTTATCGAAAGAAAATCTATTATTTCACCAAATTCTTTTTCAGGGTAAAGACAGCTTCACTCATATAAATTCAAAACTCAGAAAAGTCATTGTTGATATCCGAAACGCTTCTTTCTCTTCTTGCTCAGACGATGCTTCATCCATAGCTGAACTACATCGACAAATACAATTGCAACAGAAATCAGTCATTTCAGATGAGGAATATAATATAAAGAATCAACTTCCTTACCTCGATGCTCCCCTATCTCTGTCTGCCTTCGATAGATTGCACGGTTTGATAATTTAATTTTAATATCTTTATTCTTTGATTTCGTTAAAATCTAGGTAATCATTAATTAATGATTAGATAATGATATTTTAAATTTCAAGATTGTATTTTTAAACTTAACTTTTTAAAATTATTAAAAGAAAATCTTATAAGTTATTAAAAATAGTGAGTATATTCATTAATTTAAAGTAAATATCATAATTCTAGAAATGGAAAACGATATCAGTTATGATTTTAAATTTAAAAAATAATTAATTAGTAACTGGCGTCAATTCTCATTCATTCCAAAATCAAGTAACTACGAACTTTAAGATCCATTTTAATTGCCATAGCCCGAAATCAAAAGAACTTTTCGAAAATCGTTGTAATACTTTCGAAAAGAACAGTAAAAATAATCACGTTAGGAGTGTATCGACTAGCGTTTTTGAAGAATATCGGTATAACAATTATACCGATTCGCAAGGATCCATGAATCAAAATGGTATAAGCGATCATTCTGCTAAATCCGTCAAAGAACACCAATATGGAAAAGGGACCAATGGATGGGCTCCACTGGTCTATTTCGATGAAGAGCTCGAAGCCGATATGATGGAGCAAATCGAAACTCAGCATCATGCAAATTTTAATAAAGAGGATACCTCGGGATGCGATAACCTTACTAATGCATCATTCGATGATAGTGGCTGTTGTCGAACGAAGAACAACGGTGAAATGAAATAATGATAGGAATTAATTTTCCTTTATAATATTAGAATGAAAATTTTTGATGAACAGAACAAGAATAACAGGAATATACCGATATTTATTGTCGGATCGGGCTTGATTTTTCGCCCTTTTTTAAAATATCGGTTATAGGTCTATTAGAGTTGGTCGATCTAAATCGCGAATTAAATCAACCCGATTTTTTTTTAAAAATCAATAATTTAAATTAAAATTTAAAATAGTAAAAGATAAGGACTTAGATAGCAAAATCTAAATTAAATAACCAAATTGCACTATTAATTACCATTATTTTCTATTTTAATTTTTGACATGGTAGAAAAATAGCTGATCTTAATAGCAATAGTGAAAAAAATTATTTAATATTCAAAATGTACGAAACCATATCAAAAATCTACACATATTTATTTCTTTATAATAAAAAAAATCAATTAGTTTGTGAAATTAAGAAATAACATATATTAAAATTCACTCAACATAATAGCGAATTTTAATTTGAAAAAATAAATTTCATTTGGCACTTTTATTTGAATCAGAAAATTCTACAATAAAATTATTTTAGCCAACAATATCAGCTGACCTTCTTTCCACACCGATATTGATAGTTAATTTTTTTTTATATAACTATATTATATAATATCATCGGCTCTTTATTTGAAATAAATATCAAAAGAAGAAGAAGAAACATATATCATTATTTAATTATTAAAAAATTTCCAACCCTTGAACCATAATCCTTTACTTGCAAGATAATATTAAACTGATATTTTAAAAAACGATATTTTACAATATTAGACAAGAATTCTTTAATTAAAATTTGAATTTTTATTTGATATAAATTGCGATTTAAATCAAAAATGTCATTTCTAAGGCCTATATATTAAATTTATCTATTAGATTTGATAAAATCAGAGACTTGCAGGCACGGCCTAGGTATATGGGCCGGTCTGTATTTTATTTTTTTTAAATATATCCGGGCCGGGCCTGAATTTTTTTTAAAAAAATAGCCTGGCCGGATCCGGCCGTATATTTTAAAACCAAATATTTTATTAGCTATAAAAATTAAAAATAAATATAATATTTTAAAAAATCCGGGCTGGGCCGAAAAAGATTTTTTTTTAAAAAAAATCCGGACCGGGCCAATTGTACTCCTGCAGATCTCTAATATAAATTAAGAATATTCTTATATAATTGAGGTGATAATATAAACTAACAAAATAATTGGAAATATGTTTAAAAAAATGTATTATTTATTTTTAAAAAAAATGTATTGTATAACTGTAAAACCTGTCTAATTTCTGCACCGTTGGGAGCAAGATTTTTGCGCAACTTATGCCCAATTTTTCAAGACTTTTTATTTTCTAATATTAGATAGGAATTTTATTGGTACTACAAATTTTTGTCAATTAGGAAGTTGCCCCAAATATAAAGGGCCAAAATTAGACATGCCTTACATTGATTTTAAAACTTTAATAATTTTAAAAAATTCTTACAATTTATATTGAACATGAATAGACTAGATGAAATTCTAATTTCTACACAATAGAAAGACTTTTAGAAGAAAAAATTTTACAACAATTTAATATATAAATAAATCAATGTTTACATTGATAAATATAACTGAATAAAATACACCTAAATGATAATTTAATTAAAATTTGATAAAATAGTGTATTTTCAATACATTTATTTATACAAAGAAAAAATTGCCTGGAAAAATATTTATCTGGAAATGTATGAAAGTATTAATTGATGATTTTTTTAAAATACAAAATATTGTTTAAAAAAATACTTTATATATTTATTTGTATTATAAAAAAACCATTTAGTACTGTTAAATCATTTTATAAAAAAGTCATGACTTCTGTAATAAAACAAAATGTTTTAAAAAAAAATCAAAATCATCAAATATTATTTAAAAATGAAAACTTGGCCAAATATATATTTATTTAATTTTGACACTATATTTATCACTTTATTTTTATACCCGTGTTTATAGAATGTATCAGCAACGGTAAATGCGACGGCATTGAGACCGAGACGGAAGAACCAATGCTGCTGCTTCAAAGGGAAGAGGACGAATGGGACGAAGAAAAAAGGAGCCAGATTTCAGTCGGGATGGCCTCCTCCGGTTACCATACGCTTAATAAGCCATCATCTTCTTTCAAATCCAATTCCCTTCCTACGAGCAATGAAATCCTCAGCGATGACGATTGCCATTGCAAAGATGCCACTGTTATGAATAATGAATTATTTGACAATTTTAAAATTCGCCATGAGACGGATATTTCATACGAAATAAATAGCGACGATAAACGCAACAAATATTGTGTCGATGACCAATACGCTTTTGATGATGTAAAATCGACTGATAAAGTCATAGAAAATAACTCGAAGATAGTTTCGAACTATGAGGTTCATGATTTAGGTAACCAGCTTATTAAAGCCTATCACGATGCTAGTCTTGATGACATGATCAAAAATAAGGAAGTCAATGTATCCAATGGAAATTTTATTCAATCTAATCCGGTCTCGGATATCGGTATTAAGCCTAGGCGTCATTTTCGAAACGCCCGTCTCAGAAACTCTGGTAATGTTATAAAGTAAGTTTTTTAATATATATGTTATTTTTTTTTAAAGATTTTAGTTTAGAGTATTTTTGAAATGCGAATTTAAGAATAAAAATCATTAAACCAAATTTTATTATTATGATTTAACTATTATTTGAAATTTTAAACAGTTTACTTTTGTAACATCTGCTTATTGACTATTTTTAATGTATTTCTATAGAACGACAGATTTAACGCCTATGGTGAATTCTAAAAGATGCATGAAAGATTCTAAATCTCCCTATGAGGTATTATGAAGTTCAACAATTCATTCTTTTTTTGCATTATAAATAAAGTACAAAAGTTGGGCAGTTCATTGAAAGAAAAAATACAAATTCTGACTAAAAAAATATCTTCGATATAGATACAATTATTTTATTAAAATGTCCAAAACATAAAAGATAGGTTTCCCGTTGTTTTCAAAAATAAATTCACATTATAGTATAAAATATGTAAGCAACATTTTTTATATTTTATACTTTTTCAATTCGAACATCATAGATAAAAATGATTTTAAAAATAAATATCAATGGTTTTTACCGTTCTTTTGAACAAAGTCCATTTTTTAAAAAAATTTAATTTTTACTTATAAATTAATATTTTTCAATAAAAAAAACATTTGTATATCGTCAAAATATAATTAAATTATTTTTTTTAAACGATATTTAATCGAGATATTAATAAAGATTGTGAAGGTAAGCGTTTCAATTTATTTTCTAAATAGCTATCTAAATATTGCCCGGAATCACTGTCTTTGAAAATATTTAATATCTATTCTTTAAAACTTGTTTTTTTCATTTAAAAATTAGTTATTTTAAAGAAATATCATTATCAAAAAAAATAATTAAATGGCTTTATAAAATTATGTATTTACCTTTGCACAATATATTGATAAAATACTTTCGAAGTTTTAATTTATGTTGTTACACTGGTGCGATTTTAATTTTAAATTATTTTTTATGTCTATAAAAGAAAATTCCTCTTACGCATTAGGTATATTACCTAATGATTGAATTATAAGTGATTTTTTTTAAACATCTTACCTTCAGAATTTGTTTAATTATTTTATACTTTCCAAAAAATATAAGGAAATTCATCTAGAATTTATAAAGAAAGTTGAGTATATTTTTTCCATGGGAAGATTCAAATTTTATCAGTATTAATTAATTATATTTGGCATGTACCAGGTTTTGTTTATCCAAATAAATTTATAAGTATACTCCATAAAAAACGAAAATATTTTTTTTAATGGACTTTGTTTGAAAAACGTAAAAATAGGGGTATTGACATATTTTAAAATTAATCTATGATGTTCGAATTGAAGCGAGATAAAATATATTAAATGTTGTTGTTTCTGTTGAAAGACAACTAGGAGCCCTCTAAGATACTCGTATATTGTGCTAAATAAGAGTATATTTAAATACAAGTACTTTTTATAAAAAGATTTGGTTAGTCGATGAGGTCAAAATAAATCTTTAACTTATTGTTCACAAAAAATTGATATCATCGCTTTCCCACCCAACTACTTTTAAGGTATTCCGTGACCTAACAATAAGAATGGATATATATCAAATTTTTTCAAATCTTTAGTAATTTTTTAAATTACCGAAAATACTAACAAGCTCATATTTCGAATATTATAATAAAATATTTTACCAATATTAAAAATCAAATCTCCATATTGTGCCCAAGGGGCAATCAATCTAAAATGGTAGACATAAATATATTTTATATCACCCTATAAAATAATTATATTATCTAATTTACGCGATAAGTTGGTGTCAAAATATAAAATAATAATGAATATTAATTTTTAAATATTAGAGAAAAATTAAAAACAAGAAGTCCACGAAAAAGAATTTAATAAAAGTGGTTATTGAATTTTTAAACAAAAAAATATAAAAGTATCTGTATTGTATCATATTCTTTTGGAAATAAAGTACTTATTTAAAAATGTCAAAAAAATACAACTAGATACAAACGAATTATATTTTAGAAAGTATTCACAGTATTGCCCAATTCTGTAAAGTAAATATTTCTGATCTTATTACATAATATCAAATTAGTTAAAAGATACTTTTCAAATGTATCGAGACACTTGTAAAATTTTTCATAGATTATTTAAGACACCTTTTTATTATACTCATATAAAGTTTGTGTAATGCTAAGAAAATCTATTAATACTCACATCCATTGTGTAAAGTAAAACTTGAACTTGGCATAAATTAGAAAGAAATAAACAAGACAGATATTTATAATAAAATTTAACATAAAAAATAGAATTATATTTTATAAAAATTTATAATAAAAAACATAAAATTTATCAAAATGTATCCATAAATGTATACAAATAGAAATGTAGCTAGATAAGATACCGATACAGCATCTTTGTGTCTCGATACTTTCGTATCTAAAATTATTTATTTACAAAAAATATATTGAAGCTTTATATTATATTTACATGGAAAACTTAGTATGAAATGGAAATCAATTCTCTCAGACTCCAACTTGAGCTAATAAACAAAAAGCTGGTTGATGCAGAGACAAAATTTTATAAAGGTTTCCACAAAAATCACGAAGTGGCCCCAATAATTCATTGTCCACTTGTGATGCACGAAACAAATTACGACTTAAAAATAAATATTCCAAATGGCGATGTCGCGTCTCATAAGAAAGAAAAGGACCAACAGATCGATATTATATTACAAAAGTAGATTAGTTTATGATTTTGATATCCTAAAATCAAATTTTAAGACTACTTTTAAGCAGGGACCCGGAACAAAGGCATTTTTACGCTTCCGTTCCTCAGTCATAAAAAATTGTTTCGTTCTATCTCTAGAACGTTTTTAGAAAATCAATTAAATTTATTTTTTAAATATAGACATTTTAATTAATCTTTATTTTATCATTAAATGAATCAATTATTACATCGAAGCAATAATATATTTTCTAAAAGATTATCATTTATATTGGTTATTTGTGGTGTTAGATGACCGTCGAAAAACAACGTTCAACACTTACCTGGCTACATAGAGTTTCTAATACGATTTGAAATATAGGATAGAATTTTTTATTTTATTGGACCAGTATTTAACAAATTTTTTATAGTTATAGAATATCATTCTTTTTCAAGTTTTGCTTTTTTTCTTTTTTTATCCTTGGATCTTAGAAACATTTCAAATTCATCATATTCTTGTCCTTCTTCAGAAGATTTATCCAAATTACTTTATATTTAAATCTTCATCCTTAATATGTTCCAATGTCGCCAGTAAATGATTTATAGCACCTCTTCGTTCAAGAGATTTAAACCTAGGTTCTAGGTATAAGGCAGAACAAAGTAATTAATTTATTATCACTTTTTTCTTATAGTTTAGAGCTAAAGTCAAGTTTTTAAAGCCTTATTTTACATTTGGTACATTGACCTATAAAGTCACCTGGAAAAATGCTCTCTTTTTGGAAAATTAAGCTTGCTTTCTTTAACCGCTTTAATGAGGTAACCATTTTTCTAGTTTTTCAATCTTCATCGGAGAAAATCTTTTTAGGGTATACCATTTGTAAGGATTTAGAAAATAAAAAGAACTTAATATATACACCTATTTGATGGATTAAAAATTTTATTTTTTTAGTTAGAAAAAGATCGTTCCAGAATACACGTTCCGTTCCATTTCCCGGAACGTTCCGTTCCATGTCCCTGCTTTTAAGGCATTCTTACTTTTCAACCCCGTTTTATTAATTTTTTAAACATTATTATCTAAACTGATCTAGATTGCTGATGTTGGAAAAAGAGTTGAAAATAGAGCAGAAAGATGTCCAATCAAAGGTCAACGATAAGCAAAGGATTATAGAAGCCCAAGAACGCAAAATACAAAAATTGGACAAAACCAATGAAAAACTTCTCAGTGCATTAGGAAAATTAAACGGCCTAAAAATCAATGATAATTCAATCGAGCTTCCTGCAAAAATTACTTGAAGGTCTTTAATAAAGAGTCTACCTTATTCATTATTATTAACACATTTCAATTATCACATCATTTAAACTGATATACCATATATAAATAAGCGAGGCAATATATTTATTAACAATTTATATTTATTGTTATAACAATTATTTTTTGAAAACTTTGAACAACCCATATTATAGTAAAATCCTTTTGATTTATATTTTTAAACAAAAATGGTTGTTAAATTATATTATATAAAATCAATATTTTGATATCACAATTTTTAAGATATATTAATTTTAAAAAAATTAAGCAAGTAATTTAGCATTATATAAAAAAATGACCATCTTGGTCATAAATTAAAATCGACCGACATTTCTATCAATTATATATACATTGTAATTCTACAAATTTTCCCTTTTTTTAAAACAATTTATTGTTTGTTTTGTTTTTTTATTCTTGGTGATTTAAATTGCATTTATGTTATGTGATGTTGTTAAAAGAAATAAAAAAATTTTTCATGTATAAAAATAATAAAATTTTATATTTATTCTTAGAAGAAATCCTAGGTTATATAGCTTTTGAACTAGGACACCCTATTTTGATCGGTTTTAAGTGTTTGGTGGCATTATTATTTTTCGTATTTTATTCTTGTCTTTTTTATTTCTTACTTAGGCTGTTAAGTCAACACTGGGCCATTTCATGTCAAATCGATCAAAAATAGTACATTTTCGGTCGACCACTTTTAAAATTGTTAAAAATTTCTGGAATTATATAGGTTGAGAAGGCCATTTATTTTAGCTCGCTAGCATACCTGGTTCTCGAGATATAAGAGCTCATAGGTGCAAAAAAGAGCCACTTTGGAATCTCTAAAATTTTTAAAATGCTTATATCAAAAACTTTTTATACTAAAAAAATATATAATGTTGCAGGTAAAAAAAATCTCTAAGGACTATCAATAAACAAAAAAAATAATTTTTTATTTGCTTTTTATTTAAACACATTTAATAAATATATATATAAGATGCGAAAACCTTAGCGACTATCGACTTCCAGAATATACATTATGAAAATATTGATACGTTTATAATAAATGTGATAAAATTTTCCAGTTCTGCCTCCCCCCCCCCCTCACCATGCTTAAAAAGTTTTACATTTTTTAGATCTCCAAGCTGTTACTATACCGAATGACTTATTAGCTCGATGATGTATAACAGCTGAAATAAAAAAGAATATTTTATTAGGAACATTATCGATTTTACGACAAAATAAACTGTTTAAAACTTCTCTTTCAGCATAAAATCTTTAACTTGCCCGTTCAGATTAACCCTATTGCGTACACATATTACAAAAAAAGGTATAAATTTTAATATAAATTTTTTTAGTCTAATAATACACATGATGTATAATAGAATATAGATACACATATATTTTATTTATTTCTATAGATAATTTTTTCAAAAATGAAAGACAGCTATCAATATAAAAATTCACGTAGTTTACAAGTTTCGAACAATGGCATTTTTCCAATTTATAAATTATGTCATTTCTCTTGTATTTTTAAGGAACAGGAAGTTAAGAATCCTAATAAAAGAAATGTTTTACATATAAATATGTTGTTATATTCGTTAATAGTGTTTAAAATTTAAGTTTTAATATACGTGTACTCAGATACATAATGCGCACAAATGCAATATGAATTTGAGCTTTTTGATTTTTTTAAAATATTATTAAATGTTCTTTATTTGCTATCTATAGTCAAAATATACTGTATTCCAAAAGATAGTTCTGATTCTTACCTTAGCGGTTCATCCGATGAGGAAATTCTTGATTCAAGATCAGCAGATGTTGATTTTAGCGTAAATGCAGTATTTCAACTATTGGTACCACTATATTCTAATTTTAAATTGTATTTTAATAATTGGTTCTGTTGTATAGAACTTCAAGAAAGGGAGTATTGCTGCAGCTAGAGCTAATAGAATTTATAATTGCCAGTTTCCAACTGAAAAAGAATTTAAAAGATGGAACGTAGATCTTTTATCGAGAAGAAGGCAACAGTAAATGGTGTAGAATTATATGCTACTAAATGGCATGAACATGATAATAGGTCTGTAATTATTCAAAGTAGAGATCTGCAAAACTAGGCCCAACCCGAACGGTCTAATATTTTTTAAGAAAATTCGGGCCGGGTCGGGTCAGAAATTTTTTAAAATATATTTAAATTTAGCAATTTTATGTTGAATTTTTTATGTAAAATAAAAATATGTGATTTAATTTATAGAAAATAGACGCCAAATAACTTATATCGTTTATTTTGAGCAGTGGCGTAGCTAGGAAATTTCCTTAGAGGGGGTCCATACATATAAAAGCTGGGGGGCGATCTTCGATAATATATAATAAATATATTTTTTAAATGCATCAATAATATGTTATTATAATTTATTAGATTATTCTCAATGACTTTATAATAATACTATCCAGAATAATTTCAATAGTAATATAATATCCTTCCACAGACATCAAAACCAGAAAAATATAATTCATATAAAATCACTTTTAAGTCTTTTGAACGTATAATCTAAAATAAAATTTTGCTCTGGGAGGGGTCCAAACCGAAAACCACCCCCCGTAGCTACGCCACTGATTTTGAGTAATTATAAAAATTAATTTCTATATTTAAAAAAATACGGGCCATGCTGGCGCAAAACTTTATAAAAAAATTTCGGGCCGGGTTTGAAAAATTAGGCCCGATGCAGATCACTAATTCAAAGTACGTATATAGGTAGTTACCATGTTGGAGATTGTGAACGATTTGATAGAAAGGAATGATGAAAAATAAAAATTCCATGTCCAGCAGCTATAAAAGTTTACAATATAAATATGGGAGGTGTAGATTTAATGGATTCATTGATGCTTTATATCGAATTCACATAAGATCACGTAAATGGTATCACCGTATAGTATTCCATATACTTGATATGATCCTCATAAATCTTGGTTAATATATAGGCGAGATTTTGTAGCTTTAAAGATACCGGTAAAAGAGATGTCATTATTAACATTTAAAATCTCAATAGCAGATGCTCTAACAAAAATATGAACGCTAGCATAAAAAAACGAATATCAATTGACACTAAATATAAAGAAAAATCAATTGGTTACGAAAGTGATTTGTACCAAATATGGTGCATCATTATGTTTTACTACAAAAAAACGATTGTTTTATTATTTCATGAAAATTAATATAAATTTGTTTTATTACATTATTTATCAAATAATAAAATTATATGTCTTTATTTTGTAATAAGTTTGAAATTGAAAGAATACGATACTTTTTACATGCATTGTGTATTTAAATATACTGAACTTTTTTTTACGATTTAAAATTTTTTTTTATAAAAATTATTTTTAGCTTATTAAGGGCCCTTTAAAGACAAAAATAAGTCTTTTTTAAAATTTATATCATTTATTGATATGTCGCGCAATAAATGGTTAATTTTAAATAATTCAACCCATCTGAAGCTTATTATTTTATCGTCTCTCTACCAAAACATTCGGGATTTGGAGAGTGTATAAACATATATTCTAGGTGCAGATCAATTATTATATTCTATATCAGAGATGGACGTGCCAAATGTTAAAATATCAAAATGTTGCAACCCATTTAATCTACAAAGACATGCTTGCTTATTATAGCAAAAATCTAAGAAAGATTCTACCCTGGATGACCCAAAAAATTTTAATCAATTTAGATAGGTTAATATGCTCTTCATGCCAGCAAAAATTAGCAAACATTCCTTAAACTTCAAATGACAATGTACATAGAGTCTCCCCCTCATATAATTAATCAAGAGGCTATTGATAACATTTATATATCCCTACAATCAATAGGGAAATCTCCCATTAAAAGAAAACGTTTATGTGAAAAGAAATATCCAAAGAAAAAAATTTGTATAAAATTATACCACATCAAATGATGAAATTCTAGATACCTTAAAAATCAATTTCCCACAGCTGTCGATTACAAATAAATTTAGCCTACTAACATTAATCAAATTGAACAGTAAGAAAAATTGTAAAAAAATTTAATATTTCATATCATATGGCGTTAAAATCAAAAGGTTTAATAAAAGAAAAAGCGTTTAACACCGAATCCTAGTAAGACAATAGATGCCGCCACTTTTTTTATTGTCAAAACTATTTATAGCAATGATGAATATAATAGATCGATGTCTGGGAAAAGGGATTTTATTTCTATAATTAAAAATGGTGAAAAGATTCAAGTCCAAAAAAGATTAATTTTAATTATTTACGAAAGCGAAGAGAGATTAATAAAGCGCGTGTAATACCAGGAACGCAAAAATTTCATACTTTTCATCCAATTTCTCAGGATAAAATTGAAGCAAAATTCTATTTAAACTCAAGAGAATCGCAAATATTAAATATAACATTTAACTCAAATATTAATGCGAATTTATAGAGAAAACGAAAAAATATATTTTATTTATTATTATTATTAAAAAATGTTCATCTACATACTATATGTATTATCTAAAAATATTTAGAATACATATATCAAAACGAAAAACAAAAGTAATAATAGGTAAAGTTATAAAAATTAAATTATATAAAATTGAATTGTAAAGAGTTGAATTGTAAAATAAATCGTAAAAGGTTGAATTGTAAGTCAAAAAGCAAAAATGAAATAACAGTACAAATTTGAATATATAACAAAAAATAAATGGATATATAACATATATCTATGACAATTAATGGTGGATGGCCTGTTTTAGAAAAAAAATCGAAAAAGAGAAAGTGTTAATTAGTGTTTTGCATCCTCAAGAACCCTCACTCTTATACATATTCCTCCTATATTAACAAATAGTGTATATATAAATCAAAAATTTTAGATATGGTCAGTTCATCACTTGCTACGTGACGAACATACACTTTACGTAAGGATGAGACGATTAAAATTATTCATCTTTATAATTTATTTTCTTAAAATATATAATTAAATATATCTAACTAAATTTTGTTTCAAATATATTTTAAATTATGGAATGGATATGATTATCTATCTATATTTCTATATTATTAATAAAAATGAATTATAAAAAAATTATAAGAAAGAATTTATTATTGGAAATTTGTTACGTTATTAAATGTCAAATGGGAATTTGCCCACATTGCACCTCAGTTTAATTAGTATATTTAGAAATTCGAAATTTTTTAGTATGAAAAATCAAAATATCCTGTTATTGGTAAATTAGCAACAAAATTTACACCATAATCCGTAATTTCATAAAGCGCCATCTATTTTTTTCCAAATTTTGGTAAAAATGTATATTTCGGAAGAGTCGATACCGGCCAAGGTTTTAATCGTATATATTATATATTTATAAAAGTGTCTAAATAAAAAGCAAAAAAGAATTTCGAAAACAAACTTCCTTTTTTACTTAAAAATACAGGTAAAGCAATATAGGTAAACCGGAAGTTAAAGACTCAAATTGGCACCAATTTTTATTGTTTATTGATAGACCTTTAGAGATTTTTTTACCTACAATATGATATATTATTTATTTTTTTTTACTATAAATAGTTTTTGAGATATAAGCATTTTAAAAATTTTCCAGATTCCAAAGTAGCTCTTTTTTTTTACCTATGAGCTCCTATATCTCAAGAACCAGGCGTGCTAGCGAGCTAAAATAAACGGCTTTCTCATTTTTTTTACCTCTAAATAATTCAGAAATTTTTAACAATTTTAAAAGAGGCCGGCCGAATCGTGATCGATTTGACGTGGAATGTCCAACTATATAACCGGCTAAACTGCCGGTGGTTTAGTATTAAATCAAACCAGGCCACACATAATAATTTCTAAAAATCTTTTATTTTCGTTATTAATTTTTATTTTTAATGTAAAATAATAATTGATGTATTATAATATAATAATTTAATCATTGAAATTAAATCTTGCAATTTAAAATTATAATGTAAACGTTTATCAACAGATTTTTTTAAATATTATAAGACCATATCCGAGAGTGTATTTAAAGTACTCGATGACAACCCTTTTCATTTTGTTTTATAAAATGAAATCTTTTAATATAGATTAACAATTAGGCTGATTTTTTAAATTTAAGATGGTATCCTTCATAACTCTTGGTGGAATAGATTAATGGCACGTGTTAGATGATGAACACCCCAAAAAGATGTTGGTAAATTTTCAATATCCCTCTCCCTTTTAACGAAGGCAGAAAACGAAGAAACGCAATTACCTATGAAATGGTACGCTCTAGCCAATATGTACAGGTCGAGTTGGGGATCCTCTGACTCCAATTTGTAAATCTTAATAAGTGTGTATTATTTATATGGTTAAATAGCCAGTGAAGCAATAAAAATATGATTAATTAAGAAAAAATTTATAAAGCCAACTGAAATAAATTATATTGAGAATTTAAAATATTTGTAGTATATATAAAAATATACATTCATATCCTTGAAATTGGCCTGAAGAAAGAGTATCATATGGTTTTTGTCTGACGCTATAAATATGTTGGTGATGTTTGGAGAATTTTGAAGGACGTTTCGTAGCTATTCAATTAAATAATTATTATAAATTAAAAGATCGTTTACACTATTTAATGAGAAATTAAAAACGCTTTAAATAACAGTTAGTATCTCGTATACCTAAGAAAAATATGAATCGAATAATTCCTGTATTGTACGAAATATTCTAATCGAAAATTAATTTTTTTAATAAAAATGAGGATTATTAAAATTAAATAACTAATAGATATGGAAATAAAGTAAATAATAAATAAAAACTATTCTATACTATTCATTTTTAATTATAAATTCCTATAATTGTTTAAAATTATATATTACACTATATGAGGCAATGTTGATCCTATAAATGTAATTCGTAATGAAAATTATCTTATCACTTTTACACATACCTTTTTAAATATTATATTAATTCGATAATTAAATGTGAAACATAATAAAAGTAAAAGGGAAAAAATATCTTTCTTGAAATATATCTATAAATAAAATTCAATTATTTATAACATTAAAAAAAATCGGTCTTAAAACGGACGCGTTCTTAATATGCATTAAGGACTTTTAAGGAGCAATTTTTAAGGACGGACTTGGTTGGACCAAGGCCCATACGGACTTTTCCCATCTCTACATTCAGCTCTAATATAGACGTAATCTGGCGAAATTTTTCCATTCTCTATCATTTAGCTCTAATAAAAACGTTTGTTTACCCCATCTGACATATAACTCTGGTTTCACCCCGGATATATGTTGATTTATTGTCTAGACCTGTATAAAAAGTAAAATATTATTTCAGCTGTACTACTCGCCGAAAGGATTTCACAGCGGATACTATCAAGATATAATATTTTATCAGTTTGGTGGAGCTAATGTTTTATAAGATAAGGGTTGGTCAAGTCAAAATAAAGGAAGGATCAATAAAAAGTGTATATTGTTATTATAATAATTGTAGGGACGTTTGAAACTCATTTCGCTAATTATGTATTTGATAAATTATTCCTTTATTTAAATTAATTGTACATTTACATTATTTAATATGTTATATTTAAGAATGAATAAATTTATTTATTTAAAATTAATAAAAAAAGGTTTAATATAAATTACAATATAAAATATAATTTAATAGAAGAAACGTATATAATTATAAAAAAATTAATTAGGGAAAGATAAGGTGCTGGAATGGTAGAGATATTATAATATTAATGATTGGAAATGAGAAAAACATTAAGTAAATAGTTGCAGTAGGTAGCCTTTGTCATAATAGTTCTTTGAAAAAGGTTTAAATCTTGACAAGTTAGTTATAAAAAACATTTTTTTATAGAGAAAAACATATCACGTTGAAAAAAATTTATGGGAGCGGCACTCCCAAAAAGGTAACAAAATAGCTTTGGAAATATCTTAAAAATATATTAAATGATGAATTATATATGATGAATTACTATAAAATAAAAAAATGTACAAGTATAAAAGTAATTTAATAATTTCCATCAATACTATTTGTCAAATTTAAATACATTTATAAAAAAGGTGCGATATAATGCATTCGCGATATTGTTTTACTGCAATGCATTCGCGGTAATTTTGCTAAAGCATTAGAATCGTTTTGCGGTAATCAACATTCGCGAAAATATTTATCGCGGTGGTAATGTCGTGATGCGTAAATAATTTATAGTATTTTTTTAAAATAGACTAATTCTTATTTATTTTATTTGAAATAACTTATTTAAAAAAAATTTTTGTTTTTATTTTATTATCAAGAGTTGGGAAATATACTGCTTGATCACTTTATACTATATTTTTTTTCATCTAACGGGTCCGAAATCATAACTCTAATATAAATTTATATAAATGACCTGTGACACTATTAACTCCTGGGTGGGAAAACATATCTGAGCCGTCAGTTGACCGAATTCATTATTTTCACCCAAGCATTGTGAAGAAGAAAACAATTGGTCCGTTTGGCCCACGTGTTGACAAGTAAGTTTCTGATGGGATTAAAGAAAACGTAAACAATTTACAAGATATCATATTTATAGTAATAAATGTATTATTAGGTATGTAATGATCAGTCAAACAAGGATAATCTCAAAGCGAACATGACGATTGAACGAGTTTTAACTTATTTTTAGTAAATATGACAAATCAGTTCATCGTAATATTTTCCAAGTTATAAGTTTAACTAAACATAATTATCAAAATTTAATCATTTATTTGATTATTATTTAAACTTATTTAGCAGTTTAATAAGTGAAAATTATTTACTGGCTCTAAGCTTAAAAATTATTATACAGCGTTTTGTGTTGTTTTAAAAAGGTTACTCACATTATTAGAGCACAAAATAACAATTTTTGAAATTATTTTTATCTAAAAACAGGATAAAATATATTTAAAAAATGTTGTTTCGTACCACCGTGCAATTAAAATATTTCTTTTTGTATTTTATATCAAAGCCTATCTTTTCAAATTGTAAATTTGATTTATGTTTAAAATTTACCTTCTCATGCAATTTAAATAAAAATATGAAGATGTGTTTAATATGAATAGAGGTAAAAAAATAAATATGGCATAAAAATTTTATTCATAAATACTGTCGTTTAAGCTTTAGTTATATAAAATCCAACTTTTTTTAAAAAAAACTGATTAAATCAAAAAAAAATCGCAACACCCAAACAAATCGAATCAATTTGTGAGTACCGAAAGAAAATTATTGCCGTATAATAACGCGTTACAGAATAACGAAGTTAGTTTTTTCCTCGAAAAAGGTAGATAACAGCGTTATTATTAAAAATAAACAGGCAAAATGAGCAACTAATTTCTATTTAGTTTAAGTAAAAAACATTATAGATTTTCATCTATACTCAATGATGGATGAATATTAAATTTTACCTTTATTTTAGGATAGATAACATTATCAACCAGAGCTCCCATTAATAAGCATTGCTGTGCAAGAACATGTGTGTTATTATTTTATTATAAGGGATACACCATATTTTTTATCAGATCGGGCCGACATTTCATCTTTTTAAAATATAGGTTATAGGCTGATATTATAAAATTTTTCGATCCGATCCGATAAAATGGCGTCTTCATTTTTATTGTATTATGAAAATAAGATGTTCTTAATTTTTTTTTTAAAAAAAGTTGTATTTAAAAAACAATTTATTTTTATAAATTCGAAATTCATTTTTGTTTATTATTTTAATAATGGATAATAATTAATTTCACAATATAGTATTTCTTTTTCCAATTTAGTTTAATAAATTTTTATTTGACTAATAAATTATCTCAAATTGATAGGGGATCTAGTATTTTAAAAAAGCTTACCTAGACTAAACAAACGTACTATAGGAGTGCTTGATATGCTAGACATTATATTTAATAATAGCAATTTTAAATTTGTAAAATCAGCATATAAAGATAATAAACGAGATTTATAAATATTTCACATATAAAGAGTAACTAGGTCGCTCTTTGTCGTTACATTTCAAATACGAACGTTATGCTAGTTAGATATTTTTAAAGGTAATTATGTAACAAACACCATATAGTTAATTATATTTTTACGCATTCTGATATATAAATAATATAATATATATCGGATCGGTAATCGGCCGGTATCAACTTAATATCTGCAATATCGGATCGGCCTTCATAAAGTGGTCTCCACAATTTATTATATATATACATCATTATAAGTAATTTTATTCGTTAAAAGAATCCGGTGGTATATTCTTTTTAATCTTTGAAATTATAAATATTTATTAAGTGATATGTGAAAAATAACGCATTACCCAAATATTTTTATAAAGTCAAATAACTAAATACAGAAAAAAAAATTTAATTTGAGAAATATTTTGTATCTTTTTTAAAACCTGAGCCCTGCCCGATTTTCTTTTAAAAAAATGAACCCATTACGAATTTCTTTTAAAAAAAGTCGGTTCTGATCCCGACTTGCAGAACTCTACAAGGTAGAAATTTTAATAATTTTGATACAAGACCTTATAAAAAAATAGATAACTCTTCACTAGTGTTGTTAAACGACTCGATTTAGGCCGATTATTAAGAAGAGCTAAAACAATATTTTTAGCCATAAAGATATTGCTCTAAATCTCGAGATTTAGCTAATAGATGTTCAATCCTTTGTAATTCAGTGTTGCATAGTATTTTTTCTGGATAAAATATTGAATTAGCCGTTTTTATAAATCAGCTTAAATAGAGCCGTTTAACAACATTAATTCTCTATAAAATTAAGAATATAATTTTACCCAATCTAGACCGTTCCGCAAGTGCAATCCAATATATTCATATCTCCTAACGCCGTAAAGATCGAAAAAATGTTTATCAACCATCTGGGATATCTGTTGGGACCAAATCAATAACCCGTGCAAATGAACGTCGCTAATTTTGACAGGAAAAGATCCAGGTGCTCCCACAAAAGCCAAAACTGGGTAATCGGGTGGAGGAAATTTCGTATCCCAGAGAAATTTTAGCCTTACGTGGAAATAGATGTAAATGAGATTAGGTCTTATATAAGAGGTAAAGTATAGTTTCTTAAGATGGGAAGATCGGAAATATAATAAACACGAGATTATAACGAGATATTGCTTTCTTCTAAAGTATTAAACTTTTATTAATTGCGAGCATAATTAATCTAAATAAATGTTACTAATTCATAATTACAACTAGTTACAAAATTTTGTAATATAATTACTTATAAAAACAGTAAATTACTAGAATCACATTGATTTTATAGACTAATTTTAATTAATTATTTCAATTCCTTTTCATCTTAATTACTAATATAAAATAGATTATAAAGGTATTTTAATTTGTATTTTACATTACATATCAACTAAACGGGTAGATGCAACCCAACACTGCTTATCTGTTGTTTAGGTGACTGCGACTATTGTGAGACATTTTCCATTTGAAGAAAAAATTAGGAAATATAATTACTGTAGCACATTTGGTTTAATTTGTAAGCCAACAAATTCAATTCACGTGTTAGTTGCACCGCTCCAATAATATTATTTATTGTAGGCATGGTTAGAGACATAATATCTCCTGAGTAGAAGTCTCTATCCCAGTCCTCTAATAGCGGGCCTTCGACCCTTTTTGCTTGACCTTCGGAGAAATGATATGTCAATATCTAATTATGATCCAATCCTGAATGATCATTAAATAAGGTCATTTAAAGACGCAAACATAGGAAATCTCAAATTTTTAGACAAGTTATATGGAGGTTCCTTAATTACCTTATTATAAAAGTCGACCCTTGGCAAAGTTATTGATGCAATTCTATCACGTTTAGAAAACGGATTAAGGAAACAATTAGGAAAAAAAGATTCAGCATACAGATGGACCACTAAGAATATAAATATCTATTAAGCTACAATTTGCGTGAAGATTTTTTACTAAGGATTAAGTCATTGTGTCTCTAAACATGGCCTGTAATTAAACAAAATCATTGGAGAATCTGATGATGCCGCTAACATGCGAAGTAAATAAATTGGCTTACGAGTTCAAATTAAATAAGAGGTGCTAGGCAGTATGTGGTGCTATAACAACATACTTAACTTATGTATTTGTTAGGGATGCACCGATATTTTATATCGGATCTGATCGGGCCGATATTTCACCCATTTTAAAATATCGGTTACAGGCAAATATTATAAAATTTTCCGATCTGATAAAAAATGGCGTTTTTAACAAAAATAATATATTATTATATCTTTATTTTTATAAATAAAATCGAAATCCAATGTTTAATTTTTTTAATAGTAATAATTATTTATTAACATTCTGTCATATTGTTATTTTTTTTCGCATTTTGTTTATAAGAGTGTGTAATAATCTCTTCAGAATCTGTTTTTATTGATGCTAGTAATATTGACAGTCTCCAATATTAATTTCAAATTTCATAATATATTTGTTTATTACTAATTATGTAAATAGATTAATGTTATTACTTATTATATAAATAATAGCAATTGAATTGAATATAAACTATAACTGATCATTATAATATATTTAAATGACATATGTTATGGTATAGTAAAATTATAGATGTTGTACTAATAAAAAGTATATTAAAAATTAAAACCATTGGTATCTTTACAGAAAACAAAATTAGATATGATATCGGATCGGTAATCGGCCGATATCAATTTAATATCGGATCTGATCGGCCTCCAAAAAGTGGTATCGGTACACCCCTAGTATTTGTGACACATGTAATAATTTTGAAGCTAAAAAATCTATTTGGATTATTTAATAGACTTGCTACATTTTTAATGATGTTATAAATGTGTCACGGGGTTTTTAGACTCCCAGTCCGCCTCTGGCGATTGTTATTGGGTGCTTTTCATGCTTAGATATGAACTGTTGAATTATCATGAATTTCAACAACAGAATGTATGTTTAAAATTGGTGCACCTTTTTAAAACAGGAACAGCTATACAAATTAAGCAGCAAATAGCTATAAATTCATCATAATTAAAGCAACTGAAAGCCAGTTTCGCGGTACTTCATTTTCCATAAACACTTTTTAATACAAACATGAAGTATTTCGTCTCAAGTTCGTGGGTTGGATGTTTCTCTAAAAAAAGCAAGTTTTTGTGGAATTATTGCATTTGAATTTAAAGGCAAATAAAACTGACTTAATAGGTAAAATCTTTATCCTTGTATTTAACTATTTTCATGTCAAATCGATCAAAAAAGCACATTTTCGGCCGACCCCTTTTAAATTGTTAAAAATTTCTCGAATTATATAGACAGGTAAAAAAATGAGAAAGCCGTTTATTTTAGCTCGCTAGCACGCCTGGTTCTTGAGATATAGGAGCTCATAGGTACAAAAAAAGAGCCATTTTGGAATCTATAAAAATTTTAAAATGCTACTATTTATAGTAAAAAAAATATATAATATATCATATAAAAAAATCTCTAAAGGGCTATCAGTAAACAATAAAAATTAGCTCCAATTTGAGCATTTAACTTCCGGTTTAATTGCTTTACTTGTGTTTTTAAGCAAAAAAAGTTTGTTTTAGAAATTTTTTTTTGCTTTTTATTTAGACCCCTTTTATAAATATATATAAGATGTGAAAACCTTGGCATCGCTATCGACTTCCGAAATATACATTTTTACCAATTAAAAAAAAATAGATGGCGCTAATGGTTGAAAAATATTATTCTTACGGAAAATGAAAATATTAATGTTTATAATAAATGTGATAAATTTTCCAGTTCTTCCCCCCTTCCTCCACCATCCCAGTTTTACATTTTTTAAATCTCTACTTTGCTACTAGAGCGAATGACTTATTTGCTCGGTAATGTATAATAACTGCAGTAAAAAATAATATTTTATTAGGCATTATCATTCATATTTTACTAGCATATTATTTTACAAAATTAACTGTTTAAAACGATCTCTCTTTCTGCATATTATTTTTAACTTGCCCGTTCAGGTTAATTTTAAATAATTCAACCTTTGCAGCTTATTATTTTATCGTCTGTCTACCAATAACATACGGGATTTGGAGAGTGCAAAAACATATATTCTAGGTGCAAAATTTTATTCTACATCACAGATGGACGTACCAATTGTTAAAATATCAAAATGTTGCAACCATCTAATCTACCAACTTATTACCGCAAAAATTAAAGAAAGATTATACCCTAGATGACCCAATAGATTTAGATATGTTAATATGCTCCTCATGCCGAAAAACATTAGCAAACATTTTTATACTTCAAATGACAATGTAGATATTGGTTTCCACCTCATATAATTAATCTAGAGGCTATTGATAACATTAATAAATCCCTATAATCAATAGGGGAATCTCCCATTAAAAGAAAACGCTTATATGAAAAGATATATCCAAAGAAAAAAATATCTAGAGTAGAAAAAACATTTAACGACTAAAATTATACCATTATCTTAAAATCAATTTCCACAGCTGTGGATTATAAATAAATATAGATTAACATTATTGCCATCAAATTGGACAGTAAAAATTGTAAAGAATTTAATATTTCATATCATATGGCGTTAAAATCAAAAGGTTTAATAAAAGAAAATGCGTTTTTTTCAACGAATCCTAAACCCGGTAAGACAATAGGTGCCGCCACCTTTTCTATTGTCAAAACTTTTTATAGCAATGATGAATATAGCAGATGTCTGAGAAAAGGGATTTTGTTTCTATAATAAAAAATGGTGAAAAGATTCAAGTCCAAAAAAGATTAATTTTAATTAATTTACGAGAGCTATATCTTAAATTTAAAGATATTCATTCATTTATTAAAATTGGACTAATTAAATTTTATTTCAAATATATTTTAAATTATGGGATGAATATGATCATCTATCTATATTATTAATAAAAATGAATAATAAATAGGAAAGATATTTATTATTGGAAATTTGTTACATTATTAAGTGTCTAATGGGAATTTTCCCTAATTGCACCTCAGTTTAATTAGTATATTTATTAGAAATTTTTTAGTATAAAAAGTGAAAACATCCTGTTATTGGTAAGTTAGCAACAAAATTTTAATCATAATCTGTAATTTCATAAAGCGCCATCTATTTTTTTCAATTTTTTGTAAAAATGTATATTTCGGAAGTCGATAGCGTTGCCAAGGTTTTCACATCTTATATATATTTATAAAAGATGTCTAAATAAAAAGCAAAAAAAATTTCGAAAACATACTTCCTTTTTTACTTAAAAATACAGGTAAGGCAATATAGGTAAACCGGAAGTTAAAGACTCAAAATGTCGCCAATTTTTATTGTTTATTGATAGACCTTTAGAGATTTTTTTACCTACAATATGATATAATATATATTTACTTACTATAAATAGTTATTGAGATATAAGCTTTATAAAAATTTTACAAATTCCAATGTGGTTCTTTTTTGTACCTATGAGCCCCTATTTCTCGAGAACCAGGTATGCTAGCGAGCTAAAATAAACGGCTTTCCCATTTTTTTACCTATCTAAATAATTCCAGAAAATTTTAACAATTTTAAAAGGGGTCCCGAATCGTGATCGATTTCACGTGGAATGGCCCATTTTCTGCTTCTGTGCATGAAAAGCCAGAAATTTAGGGGTAGAATTGGAATGGTATTATCATTTGTAGGAAGCGATATTGGGTCTGAGGGAGTTCCTAATGAATATTTTGTTATGTAGATGTTACAGCTCTTGTTTTTAAATAACGCTGTTTTAAATTTTGGATTTTGCATATGAGAAATCAGATATTATATTGAAATATGAACCAAAAAGTATCATGGGTGAAGATACTTGCAATATAAAACTAAAGGTGAATTTTTTTAGATGTGATTTAGATGGATTTTTATGGTATAAATTGGAATCTCAGCTAAAGTTGTATTATAAACTATTTTGAACATAAATGTGTCTGAAGATATCTCTTGAAAATGAAGATGTTTTTGATGAAGATCCATTGTCATATTGAAAGACAACTTAGTTATT